CCGCCTAAACATGGCAAAGTAGACGAAGCCCCCGCACACCACTTGAAGTTGTCGCTGAGTGACCAATGGCTGGTGCAGCAGCTTCAGTGCCAGGCTATAATACTTACTAAGCTTGGACTCCTTCGGGAAGGCCAGACCCCGCACACCATCAACTGTTGCACCCTGAAGCTCACAATGGGCCGAGCGCGAAACACCTTTCTTGGCGTTCCGAGGCACCTGCCACTGAAGATACTCTGATCTCAGTGCTAAGACACCTACGGGCGTGGTCCCTTCAAGCTCAACCATACCTGTCGCCTGGACCTTTTCCAGAAGGTCATAGTTGTCCAAGTAAACCCTCCATGCCGAAGACGACACCGTGAACGGCCTATCCTTGCGCAGCTCGCTCTCCTCATGATGTACCTGATCGCCCTCATGACACGCCCATTTGACCAAGTTCCTGTGCACGTTCTGTGCAAGGCTCACGGAGTTGAGGAACCCCATGGGTAAAACCCTGGAGGCCAAGTAGACGTTCTGTCCCCGCATGTGCTTCGGCAAGCACACGTCTGGTACACACTTGTTAAAGGACAAGTACTTGACCCATGCATCTGGCACCCTCATGGTATAGAAAAAACACTTCACATCTTCAGAAGAGACCAAAAGGTTTTCGCCAGGTTGCAAAAAGTATGGGTTCATCATGCCCCACGAGGGTAGCGTGTCGACGTCGCCGGAAAGGGGTTGACATATGGCATTTAATGGCACTAAATTCATAATGAGACGGCAAATCTCCGTCCCGTCATCCGTCCACTCCTCCTTGCCAACAGCGAACAACCCGTTCAGCAAAGGACCTTCGTCAGTCTGGAAGACCTGCTCCTCCTCAATGAGGGTGCAAACACCCGCCTCAAGTAGGCCGGTGCACAGGCGTGGCCAGTCAGCGTCATCCACCATGACTTTGGGCCTGGTGACCTTACCCCACTGCTCCCGGGGTTTAATGAACCCATCAAAGGAGCGAACGTACTCCCGACACCCCAAAGTGCACACCTCCTCGAGTGGCACCGCCCCGATCTCTTTCGGGAGGGCAGGAGCAATGCTGGCCCAGCTGACCTTCCTGGCCACCCGAACTTCATCCCCTTTGTAATCGATGCCCCGTACCATGAAGAATTGGTCCCAATCAATCCCAACCAGATGCAATCCTAACTCACAAAAACGTGTCACATCCTCCTTAATGAATTCCAAAGCCCTTTTCTGACATCTCGTAGGTTCCCGATCAGCAAAAATCAATTCTCCCCAAAAGGAGTTCAACGACAGGCAAACACAGGTGACCCACTGAAGAACCTGTTCCGGACAATCAGGCCATAGGTGCATAAACACATGTCTGGAGGTGGGCAAGGGCAACAGGGCGGAACTGTCAACCTTACCCGTGGACTTGCTGCGAAGCGGTAGTACCTCCAGAAGTTTTTGCACCAGGAACGAACCCGATTCCGAAACCGACGAACCGACAGGTCCCAAATCCCTCGCACTTTTTTCTGCTGTCATCACGACTTGTGCAGGTGCAGCTCCCTCGCTACCACTTCCATGAAAAGAGGGTGGTCTTGGCGGGAACTCTTGAAACAGATCGGCGCCCGACATGGACACCTCATCAGCCACAGTGCTAAAGACTCCGGCTGGCTTGTCATCGGAAAAATGCCCCAGTTGCTCCTGCCCTGAGCCGTGTCGCTCAAGGTCCAACCCAGCGCAGCTCAACCGTAGGCCTCCACAATCTCCCTCATAGTAAGGCTCCCGGTCCCAGGAGCCAGCCTCTACTTTGCTTCCTCCTCTCTCCTCTTGCCTTTGTCCTGCTTGCCAGCACCTTTGCCTTTGCCTCGATCGCGATCTCTCCTCCCGGTCTCCTGGCCGGTCCCCTCCTTGCTCTTGCTTTGTCCCTTGCCACGGGACCTCCCATCCGGGAGTGAGGCGAGATGCCTCGTCTTGGCGTCTTCCGCCGCTGCCCGTTGAGCACTCAGCAACTCCTCCCTGGGAGCTATAGTCTGAAGATCCAAAGGGGGGATTTCCAGTCTCTGGGAAACGCTCCAGTGAGACCCTGCCATGGTCGCCTCCACTGACTTCACTCGTTGAAGGAGGCAATCGACTGCCTGAGCGGCTCTGCCACGGAGTAGCGCTGTGCATAGTGTCAGTAGCTCCCTGGCTACCGGGCCATTGCTCTTCCGCTGGAGCTCCTGACGAAAATACTGTATGGCGGTAGGTGTCACCAGCTGGCTCTGATCCTCGAGTCCCGCTCCCTGGAGGAGGACCCTTCTCATGTCGGTCAACGAGCGGGCTCCAAGAGCGCCCGGGCAGCTCTCGGCGACCCTTTGCACCTTCGTGGCACCCTCGAAGAAGCCCTCCTCCTGGCCGATGTCGATCTCCTCGTCCCTCTCCGACGAGGAGCTCCTGCTGGAGCTCCCGGCTCTCTCTGCCTTCTTCCTCCTGACCACTCGTCTCGCCTTTCTGGCCACCCGGCGCTGGATCTTCTCTCTCTTGTCCAGCCCCGTGCCCGCGAAAAGGGCTTGCAGGCTTTTGGCCGACGCTCCTCGAGGCGTGGTGCCATCGGTCCTGATGCCCATGCTCGATGTGGATGAACTCTGGTCCACTGCCTTCTTCTCCTTGTTGGCTCGCCCTTGCTCCTCCCGTTGCTTGGGTTTTGAGGGCGATCGTGACCTCTTTCTCTTCTTCTTGCCTCCTGGGCTTCGCTCCTTCTTTCTTTCCTTCTTCCGACGACCTCTGCTGCGGTCCTTGCCGCGTGAACGACTCTTCTCCTTCTTGTCCTCGCCGAGCTCCGCACGCTTCTCGCGAAGGTCGTGAAGCTCGTCGCCACCTGGGGTCTCCACTGCCTCCAAGTTCCTGCACCAATGCTCTTCTTCTCCTCGTGGCTTGGCCAAACGCAACTTCTTGATGTGGATGAGGTCGTCTGCAACCCTGTCTCCTGTACACGCCGCCCCCGGAGCTGACCCTTGGGAGCTCCGGTACAATGGCGAAGAAGACCCTCGCAATCGGTCCCAGTGGCCTGCAGCAACACGTGGCCCGCGTCGCGGTCCACCTCCACCCCTCGAATGGTCCCTGCCACTTGACAAGGGGCGTTGAAATAGCTGCCCTCCAGGATGACCACGTCGACTCCGCGGGCCAGTTCGAGCAGCGGTACGTCCTCGGCCTGAAGCACGTGCCCTTGCTGCCACAGCTCCCGAGGCACAGGAGCTCTGTCTCCTCCTGGGTGTCCTGCCGGCCGCCGAAGAACTCCTCGTCCACGATGCCTCAACGGTGCAACTCGCCCCCCTGCTCGTGCCTTGGCCTTCGGACGAGCTTTGGGCTTGGCCTTCGCCTTGCCTTTCGCCTTGGGCGGCATTGCTGCCACTAGCGGCGACGAGGCCAATAGCGGCCTCTCTCCCTGTGCTTGACACCTTTCGTGCCTCTCTTGCGATGCGGCGCCCTCTCGATGGACCTCGACCTCTCACGCCGATGCCGTCGATCACCTCTGCCGTCGTTCCAACCCCGCCTGCTAGGTGGGGGATGGTCGGGACTCCTGGGCCTCTTGGGCGCAGGTGGTGGTGGTGGTAAGTCGTAGTGGGCGAAGTGCTTGGCTACGGTCCCCTTTGGTGCGGGGCGTAGATTGAACTGGTTGGGGTGATGCTCAACCGCACGATCTTTCACCTCAGTGCTCGTTGCAGGGTCGCTCAAATCAACAGCAGTGCTCCCAGCACCGGTCTCCTTCTCTCCTCTCCTCTCTCTCTTTTCACGCTTTGCCTTTTCCTTCTTTCTTGATGGGCCGCTCTTGTGTTTTCGCTTCTTTAGCTTCTTTGGCTGCTCCTCCTTCTTGACCTCGGCCGCCTCAGACTCCTTCTCTCCTTCACGCACCAACTCAACAGGCTCCTTCTCCTCAACGTGCTCCTCCTTGGGCTTCACGTCAAAGTTCCCGGGTGGTACCTCTGGAGCTGATGTGGTAGGCGACGGAGGTGGTTCCTTTTCAGCCTTGGCCTTGACCTCAGGAGCCGCCTCGCTCCCGGCTGAACCTGGTGGGTCAGCAGCCAACCGCTCTGCCTTCAGGATAGGCGCTGCGAGCTCGGCCAGGTCCTGGAGCTCGCCAACCGCCGTTCGCAGGATCAGGAGCGCTGCGGCCTCCTGACTGCGAAGCAAGGTGCCGCCTCGACAGAGCGAGCGGATGCGTTCCACCGCCCGGCACACCGAGCACAACGAACCACCGGTCCTCTGGCCAAGACCGCACTCACCGCAGGCCATCCAACACTGAAAGCCGAAACGCTACAAGACAAAACATAAACGAGCATCTTATACCCCGGGGGCGTTTGTACATATAAACCTTGCGCTCGCCGTTGCGCCTTCTTGCGCCTACCAGGTAAAAACAGCCCAAAAACTGATCAATCTTTATGACATGTCCTCTCTAAAGCCTGACTCTATACAAGGGGTTTCGAACGGCTCCCATATATATTTACATATACTGCCAGTATGCTCTATTTCCTGTTTCATTACACCTATAAAATATAATCGACACCTCGGGGTTGTTTTTTTAAATTAAGCGTCCTGGAAACATGGGCACGCTTCGTTACTTTCTCCTCCTGGTACTCTCTACGTACCCAAACCCAAACTCAGCTCCACCAACCCAAACCCAGAAAGGCCTCACTTTCCAATCACAGCACGCTAGAGGAGAGCGGAAGAACATGCAGCAGGGCCAAAGAGGCAGGTGGAATAAGACCCGTCGAGTAAAGAACACCCTAGAACAAATAAGGATCAAGTAGAAGATAGTATACATGCAGCATCTCTTCTCAGTTTGGCTCCTCTCCTAGTAATTCAAATCAAAGCGCTTCACTCACACCCAAGATCCATTCAGGTTAGGAACAACATCGAACAACATTTCCAACTCTGGAATGTTCACCAACCCACTGGTCCAGTACACCACTCACCACACCACCGCCACGTCACCCAAGAAACCCATCAGTTCACCCGTTCACGTCACCACCACTCCGGGCGCTCCGAGCGGTGGAAGCAGCGATCGGCCAGTTGCACGACTTGCCAGGCCGTCAAATACAAACTACTGCGCCTCGCAGTCGTCCGGACGGACCACCGTCGCGACGGGTCCACGGACGTTTTCCGTGGGATCGGGTGTAGGATCGGTTGGTAGGTTTCAGCAGATGGTAGATGGGCCATCTGCTTGGATGTCGTTCTTTTATGGGTTTCGGGGGAGAACAATATCACCAAACTTGAGGTCACTTGTCTCCGAAGCTCTGAAACCGCTGCACTGCTCATTGACTCCACTGGCCACTGACACCAGCCAGTGTGGCCACATCGACAGAGGTGATGGATGGGTCAAATGACTCACCAGTCAGTCCCTTTGGGAGAAAACTGGTCGTCACCAGCACCAACAAACCCACCAGATGTAAAAATCACTTGATGTTTTAAGTGTGTTGTTTTTACATGCTTTTCCCCCTCAGAGTCCAGTCGACCATTTCTACAATACTCTAACAGGTGACCCGAAAAGGAATGCCAATTTGGTGCTCCCAACACTATCATAGGATATCATAGGGATAGGAGCTACGTTCTTGGCTCGTCCGAAAAAACGCTCGCTTCGTTCGTCGCGATGTTCTTGGTCCTTGGTTCCGTTCGAGTCGAGGTTCGCGCTCCCTTCGTTCGTCGCGAAACGCGCTCCGTCCGGAAATCGCTCCGCTCCCTGCCTCACCAGCACTTCGGCTACTTGACGACACCGCTGGAGGCTGATCACCTCCCGGCAGCGTGGCAACGCCTGAAGGCCCCGGCGCACGGGGCTGTGGCGGAAAGAGACACATAGGAGAGGGGCCGCGGAAGAGACGAGCAAAGAGGTCCAAGAGGTCCCGCGGTGGCGATTTCCAGTCGGAGCATTCTGCTTTTTCGGTCTTTTGATTTCTTACTTCAGGATATGCTGGTAGATTTGGTAGGAAGAGAAAGGATATGGGCGGTCCACGGTCGATGAGTGATCAAATCGTTTTTCTTCCGGGGTGGTCAGGCGGGCTCCCAGGGACATTGGCGCAGGGCCATCGAGGTATTTTGACAAGAACATGATTGATCAAAGAAACGATGGCTTTTGCAGGGGTCTTCCGGCAGCTTGAACGTGAGATTTTGGGAGACTGCGAATTGTATCGATGACACACATTTCTCTTTTGATGCGAATGATGTGGGGCCTGAGTATTGATGCTGGCAAACTGATGAGCTCTTTTCGTTCGGTTTGGTTCAATGCTTGTGGATGTATGCTGGTTGCAACAAAGCCTTTGCTTACTACCTGTTTTGGACCAAGCAGAACCTGTGCAAAACGGCCGTCGAATCCGAACCAATTCCCTTTGAAAAGGGGACCGTACCACGTGCCGCATGTGCCGGCAAAGGAATTGACATAAAGAATATCAAACCATCCAAGCCTCACAGGTTGGCGGTTTCAACTCGAAACATCTGGACTGTCAGTGGGATCAATCATCAACGGTGGAACATTCACAAATTCCATCGAAACCGCCATCAATTGATACTCTTGGATCTTGGATGGACAAAACACCTCGCCGACCTATATGCCGATCCTTCCAACTTCGGTTGTTTTCATTGCACCGCTCTTCGGATGGGAGGAATCTCATGGCTTCTTTCCCCGCCCATTCCATGAGCCGACCGGGTCCGGGTCTCCGGACGGGCACGGCCATGCGCAAGTCGTTCGTGGAGTGGAGCAGGTCCCGACCCTCGGCCGCCGGGCGACTGGGCGAGCGATGGAGCTTGCGGTCGAGCAAGTGAGGGGTGAAAGCCCAATGGTCTGGTGGCATGTCTTAGGAGAGGGTTGACGGTTTTTTTGGGACCACCAGACAAGGTGACAAGGGCATTCCTTTTCGGATCACCTGAAGATGATTTTGGGAATGGTCGACTGGAGTTCCAGTCTTTAGTCAACAGTGAATGATATTTTTGTGTTACTCAACACAGTATGAGGCATTTCTTTTTGAGCGTATATTATTGTGGACAACTCTTGGTGGCTGGATGTATGTTTTGGAGACCCAAAGTGTGCGCATGGGGCTGATATTATCTTTGTCATATTTTCGCTGTGAACAATGCCGCACCTCGGAATGTGGAAAGAACTCCCGGCCCCCTTTGCGTCGGTATAATCGATGTTCCTTGGCCCAGAAAGTCTTGAATGCTCCTCAATATGGTAAAAGAACCTTGAGCTAGCATCCGGATTAGCATATGGCAGGTGTGAGTTTTCTCATCACAGCTCTCTCAAGCCACATCCAAAGGATCATGGGTCCTTCCACTTTCTTGGCTGCATCGAAAGGACCAGTGAAGGAACTCGTGCTGTCCCCCCAAGCCGAGCCCCCAGCCGATGGTCGTGCGTGGGGGCTTCGGTCCCTCTTCCGGGAGCTGGTCAGCGGGGCCGCTAGCGGCCGCTAGCGGCCAGCGGCCCTCCCTTCCTGGTGCCCGGACCCAGGTCCAAGAGTTGTCTGGATTCAGCTGGGCATCCTGCGGTGGCGGGATGGTCACGAGAACGAGGAACCCAGTTCAGCAGTGTCTGCAGATGGCGAAGAAGTCGCAGATGGTCAGGGTGTTGGGGATTTCAGGCGACTCTGGGACTCTGCGGTTGGTGAAGGGACGATCGTGTCCGGAACGGTTTCAGTGTGTCGACGGGCTCTGTGGAGATCGTTTCAGTGTGACTTTGTGGACCTTTTTTGCCTTCAAGACTATTCAAGACTGCTGATTCTCGCCCTGAAGAAAAAACCATATGGTGAATGTCCTTTCTTTGCTTCGACTGCTTTTCCGACTTCGTCCGACCACCGAACCGTCCAGCCAGCGACCGACCGGACGAAAAGTCCTTGGAGATCCAGGAGAGGCTCTGGAAGGGCTGATACGCCCAGGCGCGCAGCAATCCATCCTTGCAGACGTGTTTGACGCCGAAACGGACTTCTGAGCGAAACCGAACGGAACAAGGGCATCGCTACGAAGGGAACAAGGACGCTACGATTGGGGCACTCCTGGCCTTACTACTAGCAAGAAGCTACTAGCCAGGTCGTTTGGACTATGATTGCACTCAACATCACCCGATCTAGTCGAACGCACAGAATGAGTCCCCGCTGGTCGTGTGGCATTGGCCTGGGTTGCAAAAAAGAAGCCCCTTGGCACGGTTGGCACCACGGTCCTTGTTCGCACGCCATCAGGGCAGTGCCGGAATCGGTTCCTGGTTTCATGGTATGTGTGTGTATATATATATATTATAATATATATATATGAGGGACGGTCAAAACTCCTTATTCTTCTTCAACTAAAAAATGGACGTCATCGGTTTTGAGTTGGACCTTATCGTTTTACAGCGTTTTGAGTTCGTCGCATACTTTCGATCATATACAGCGCTGGGGTTATCGGTTTTGAGGTGGACCTTATCGTTTTGCAGGGTTTGGGGCACAAACCTACCCCTCTTTACTAAAGTGGTCTTCGCATGTTTTGACCGCGGCTCATATGTCTTCCTATTGGCTGGCTGGTTCATTGCCTTCGCTAGTCCTTCGCTAGGCCCGGAGAAACACCTAATAGGACTGCGAACTGGTTTGTGTTGTGAAATCAGCTTGAAGGACTTTACCTCGGTCGGTCGTCCTTTGACGTTGTTTCTGTTAGGCACCAAAGAGAGTGATTCCTTGCTACTAGTAGCTTCTTGTTGCTAGTTGCGATGGCCTCCAACCCAATAGCGATGGCCTCCAACTAGTAGCTTCTTGTTAGTAGTAAGGTGCCTGGCTACTAGTAGCCTTCCACACTTCTTGCAGTGATTTCCCTGTACGACTCGTCATTCCGCCACTGCAGCACTAACCAGACTACTACGACTCAGTGGTGAACAACCAAAAAATTCTAGCCATCGAACGCACAGTGTTCGTCGACCCTTGAAGGGCTTCAATCTCCTCCGACAAACCACATCAGTGACTGGTTGCACTTGAAGTACGAGCCTGGCTGGAGCCCCTGGCTGGCAGTTGCGAACCAAGAGCTGCTTCACCCAGGAACCAAGAACATGCATCACCCCAGTCCCTTCCGAAACGCACCGAAAGCGCGGCCGATCGACCCCCGAAAGCTGCCCCCGCGCCATCTGCGCGAAGCCACGCTGGCCCTGCCGCACAATGGGGCGCCTCTGTCCATCCTGGCACGTGTGTGCTTCCCGTGGCTGGTGTTGGTGTCCAGTTCCAATCGGTTCCAATCATCGTGTCCAGTGAGCGGCTCTAAGACTCTATGTGAGCGGCGACAAGCCCACCACTAAACATGAACAGGGAGGTTTATAGAGTCGCTCATGTGTATAATATAGGCATATATACCACACACCTGTGGTTGATAGATGGGCCCCTATGGGATGACATATACCTATAGATTCATCCATCAATGGCATAACACCAGTGTTTTAGGATGGATACCATCCATCAAAGGCATATTTAGAGTATACGCAAGCACAAATCACATACCGTACATGGAGTGCTCTGGGATTTGGAAGATCTTTTACCGGTGGTTGAAAAGAGGTTTGACCGGCATCAGAGGCACAGATCACACACATGGAGTGTCCCAGGATAGAGAAGATCATAAATGAAAATGGTTGTTTTTTTCCTGTCGGTTTTAGAAGCTATTAGTAACAAAGCACATCGCTGCGAAAGGAGCAAGGACGCTACGAATGCAGCTCCTGGCCTTACTACTAGGAACAAGAAGCTACTAGTAACAAAGGCCTTGGGGGTGATTCCTTCGATCCTCGCATTGAGCCATGCGGCTTCACTGCTGCAAAAAGCTGGTTATCACTGGTTCTCCACATACCCTGGCCAATACAGGGTAGTTGGCACAAAGCTAGGTTCTTCCATATGCCATCTGATTCTGATTGACTATAAGTCTTTGCCAAAATTCAATGAAGTCTCATTCCCAAATGCATGGCAGTAACTTTCTCAGACCGGGGTAGCCCGGTAGGTAGGACGAAAGGCACGCCCCCAACAATCACCGACCATCAACCCTGACGCCATAAAAGCGGTTTCAAGCTGTTTTACTGTTTCTGTTGAACAGAATGGAAGGAACATTTTGGTGAACTTCTGTCGTCAGGCGTCAAAGCCTGCTGTCCAGCAAGTCTTTGCCCAGTGCAATGCTGAAAGATGCGCCTTATTCGAATCCAATCGACAACTTGGGATCTTCGACAACTTGGGATCTTTTCTTTTGAAGCGAGCTGCAACGCCAAGTAGGTACCGGTACCACATGTTTGTCCAACTGCCAACTGGTATCACAATGTATCACATAGCACGTTGAAAAAACAGCTCGTCATGATGGCTGGAGCCTTGGACACCCCAAAACATTCAAGCTTCTGACAGCCTGTTCTGGCCTGGTCAAGAGCGAATGCCTTGAGGGAAGGCCTCTCGCACGAGAAGTGACAACGTGGCGACACAAGTCAGAGAGAGTAGTAAGGCCAGAGCTACTAGTAGCTTCTTGTTACTAGTAGTAAGAATGCTACTAGTAGTACGGCCAGGAGCCTCCAATAGCGTCCTTGCTCCTAGTAGCTTAGGCTACTCTGGTGAACCTGACGGAGCACAACGAAATTTGTGTGGTTTACCCAGAACTTCCGTGACTTGACTCATATATCACTCCAACTGGTAGTCAATCCATCCACCACTACCATAGGAATAAGATATATAGATATATACTAAAATGAGTCATGACTGGACTCTGAGGGTTATGATTTATTCACCAAATTCGGTATACTTCACTATTATCCATGGCATGTTTTCGACAGTCTTTCTCCTCGAATAATTGTTTCCTTCCTGTCTAACACGCACACAGATCGATTCGTCGAATCTAGTGATTGGCGCCAGGTGCTGCGCAAGAGTTCCTCATCGGATGGTTCACACAGAACAGACTGTGATGCAGTCAATTGGGAATGCAATGGGTCAAAACCTGAACCCCACCGGCTTCCACCCTCTGCCGCGAAGCACCCCCCACCGGTCGGATCCGGTCGGATCCGGTATTCGGTCTCGGATCAAACTCACCTAACCCACCCCACTAGACTTCAACCACTGCTGCGCACGCAGGTTCTTCGCACCCACGACTCACCGCACAGCCCACGGCCTTGGAAGCTCCAGCGCTTCCATCTCGGCAGCTTGGTCGAAGAGCCTCAAGCGGTTCACACCTTGGTCGTCGCAAAGGAACTCCACCTTTTGGGCAAACGTAGTTTGTTGGGGAGACTGTTGGATTCAAGGAATTGTTTGGGTCACCAGTTCTTCAAACAAGAGCTTTTTGTTTCATTTGGAAGTTCTAAGAAGCTACGAACGTAGCAAAGGGCATTACGAGAGGAACAAGAGTATAGCTTGGGTCTCTTAACCAATACCTGAGGGTGTTCGTGGATGATGGTTCGTTTCTAGCAGGCCGACAGTTGCAGGCCATAGTGATTCGTTTGTGACACCGGGTCCGTTCGGACCAACCCATCGAATCACGAACGGAACCGGTCCCCCAGACGAGGTGTCCGAGGTGTCCGAGGTGTTTGCGAGGTGTTTGCCACTCTCCGGTGGCCGCGACCGGTGATGGGTAAAAACCATTTGTAATATACATAAAATATCATAAAATATCCCATATGATGAACCGTAATAAACCATAATAGAGAGTTTAATATGGTTTATATAATTGTTTATGAAAGATTTTGTTTAATTCAATAAACCATAATAAACCTACTAGCGATAGCCTCCAACCTACTAGCGATGGCCTCCAACCTGAAAGAGTTTTCATCATGTCGAATTGGCATCCTTTTGAAACACCTCCACTCTCCGACGTTCTCCAGAAGGAACTGATCCCGAACACGACCAACACCAGCGACCTCCGGTGCCGTCCAGCGGACAACGGACGACCGGACTACGGTGACCAACGCGTGGACTCTAAGGGTCCAGTAGATGGCACAAATCCCAAGATGTCCTTTACCACCAAACACCAAGAGGTGTCTACTATGTCTACAGATAGCCTCCTGGGCGTGAGTTGGGGTGTCCAAAAACCACTTAAGGTCCTGATTCAGTTCCTGGTAGATGGGGGACTACATAAACCACCAAAACTTGTGGATTGTGCCATCTACTCCGAGACCACAGTAGATGAACACGTGCTGATATTTCTTTTTTGGCCAACTATGCAATGGCAAAAGCTGCCTCAAAGGAAACCGAAGGACATTCGTTTCCACCGGCATCTCCTCCAATTTAATCCCGCGTTGCAGACCCACCACGGACGTCTCTCGCCCACCAGGGGAGAACCCCGCTGGAAATGGTCGACCTCCAGGGTTCTTGGAGGAGACTCTCAACCACTCGTAAGCGAAAGAGAGCGAACGGGTGAGCGAACGAGCGAGGGAGTGAGTGAGTTTGACAAGAGTCGACGTCAAGCGACCACGGAGTCGTGGTTCTCCGAGGCGCAAAGTGAAAGAGTGCCCACTTGTGGCTTCTGCTGATTCCTGGCCGGTCTCCCGACTTACGAATCCGGTTTGGGGCTCTGATCCGTGGCCATTGGCGGCGAGTGTTCAAACACTAGTAGCCACCGGGAGACCGCTACCCAGTCCTGTGGGGGCCTCCCAGTCGCGTGCTTTGCTGTTAGATCTATGGCTGCTAAGGGGAAGAGTGCCCAGGATATGCTCAGGTATGCGTGCCAATTCTTTGGGGGAGGAGAAACCTCGAATGAAACACGGCATTTCCTTTACTTCGGTGGCATGACCACACGACGCCCGATCGGATCGGCAGCTCTGAGTCTCACATCGAATTGTCACACCAGGCCTAGTCTGCAAAGGCCAACAGATTTCACACCAGCACCCGACTTGAAAAAGGTCTCCGAAATGGAGGCTTTTGCTAACTGAAAGGTCACAGGTGGTAACCTGTGAAGTTGGGTGCTCATTTGGAGGACCTGTGAAGGAGGATCCTTCATATCAGGACCCTCCTGTCGGGGTGTCTGAACTACCTTACACTACCTCTAGGCTTCCAGTCAGGGCAACCCCTGTCTAAGGGCGTCTATGCCAGACTGGGACACGTCGGAGGCTCCTTTGACCCAGGAGAGTGGTCGTCCGGAGCTTCGAGGAATCCGTCGTCGCTCGTCGCCACCACGGGGTGGGCGACGGCAGAAGAACCGTTTCCGACCGCCAAAACGTCACAGTGAAGTGTGTCTCCATGTGTCTCCATTCAATAACCTAGGCAAGTGCAAACTGGACATGTTTTTTATTTTTTTACAAATATTTTTTTCCATCACAAAAACCACATCACCAGTTTCGACATCCTTCGCCCATATGTCTATCACCATCAGCGACAACCCTCCCACCTCCTCTTGCTCCAGTATTGGGGTTTTCAATAGGAAGCACCCCCAAACACTCGGTCAAAGAAGCAGCATGGACCACCCATTGGTTGGTCTCTCTGTCTAAACACATCTCACATCAAACACTAATTAGTAGTCACCGGGATCAAACTCATCCCACGTAAAGTGTTAAAAACAACACCAACAGATCCCCACCACTTAAGACATAAATGATTATAGACCTCATGAATCCTGATGACCTGTATACATGGACGTTTTCACCGCCACTTATATAGACGTTTTTCAGGGGAAGAACCAAATGACCATGACCTTCACCTTCCCCCGAGCTCTCCAGCCCCGCCATCCAGTGACCCCACACCGAGGTCAGCCGAGGCAAACGGGTCCCGGGACGAGGCCGGTGCGTGCGTGAACCGAAAAACGTCGGCATTAGATGGGTCAGGAATGCATCTAGTCATAGATGTAGCAACTGAGTGATCAGTTGGGCTGAAAACAACCTGACCCATCTGATGAGTTTCATGAAAAAACCTGACCCATCTGCAGGCCAACACTCACTCGCTCTAGAGACTGGACATAGAGAAACCCATGCTGTTTTGCCCTCGTTCGCCTTCCGTCGTCCCCCCATCCCAGCACCGACCTGGGAGCCCAAGAAATGCCCAAGTGCAGCTCGCCCACGCGGCACGCGGCCTCAGAAACACCGGTGTGGCCCAAAGCAGCGGTGCGGTGACAGCGCCCGGAAGTCGAGGAGCAGGAGGGAAGGACAGGTTCCTTTTTGCTTTATGGAAGGAGGGAAGGACCAGGGTTTAGGACTGTGACCAGGGCGTTCGAACTTCAAGCTGGAAAAGGTGAAACAATACACCATATTAATATGCACACTTTTTTACATTTTGAGAAGTCCTCCCAAAGCCAGGGTCTTTGATGCCCCCCCATGTCTTTGTGTCTAGGGCTCAGGAATGTTCAGGTGTCTTCTGGTCCAAAGCGGGCTTTGCTCTCCTTCGTTGCGCGGTGTCCTGTAGACAGCATACAGATGCCCTGGTCTGTCTGCTGTTGCTATGGTCACTGGCTGTGGCAGCCAGTGACCATAGCAACAAGTATATAGACCCCCTAAAGAGAATCAACCGGCAGCGGCGGAGCGGCGACCAAGGGGAACACCCGAACTCTTGCTTCACCCCACTGAAGTTGCAAAACTGCCCGCAGAAGCTCTTCTTTAAAAGAAGCAGTCCGATGGCCTGCTGGGTATATGACAGGAGAGAGCAGCGGAGGAACATGGGGTGTGAGCGAGTTGGCAGGAGAAAACGGAGAAGGTCGAGAGTCGAGCCGAGAACAAGTTAAAAAATCACACACATGTTCGCATGTGGGGAAACTGCACTAGTGGAAAAAACCACTCAGTTAGGTTGTAAAGCTTCTTCATCTGACTTATAAAGGATTTTGATTAATTAGTCAACATGAAGTCGACAAACATGACTCAAACCTGCAGGTACCAGTGGGCCCCCCGTTTTTGGGAGCCGTCCTTCGCCGTCGGCCGACGACCGACCCACCCAAACAGAGCCGCTCTGCCAAGCGACCGCAGGGTCACGGGAGCTCCAAACCACAAAGGGCAGGCCTGGACGTGGTGAAACGAACGAAGCGCCATCCGGCGGAATCCAGACTATATACGTTGATCCCGACTTCCACCACCCCTGGCCTGCACGGCATATAGAATACCATTCCCATGGATGGTCTGGGCCATCCTTCCACTCATGTCCGGTTCGTTTCCATGTGGCGATCCCAGACCGTCGCCGGTCCACCGTCCAGATCAGTTGAGAACAACTCGGTCATATGGCAAAGGTGTGTCCCCCCCTCGCAGTTTTGTCAATACCAAAACCCTATAGAAGTCCAGTTCGACTATTCTTTTCCTGCAGTAAAGGACATTTCCGAAATCAGGTACCTTAGTCGAGACATAGTCAGACCATTCTTTTTGGTATTTTATCGTCTTTGACTCCCAGGAAAAAGGGAACCTTTTGATTGGGATCTTTCTTTCGATAGCGTATCTGTCCGTCTATACTCTTCATAGCGTCCTGACGCTGCGTTCGTTGAAGCGAAGTGTGACGCGTTCGTTGGTATTCTTCGTGGCGAAGAGTCTTACTAGTAGTAACAAGTGCCTTACTAGTAGTAACAGGTGCCTTACTAGTAGTAACAAGAAGCTATTACTAACAAGTGCCTATTCTCCTTACGAGTAGATAGGTTTCTGGTGGTGCCTGAGGAGGTTCAGGTCTACATAGTTGCCTTTGAGCAACTATATCTCATCTGTGAGCAAACATTTATTAAACATGTATTTACTTCCAAAGAGTAAAGAATTGGGTGGGAAAACAAAATTGAGAAACAAAGCCAAAAGAACCAAGGATTTCTCGGAAATGAGTAATCTAGCAATCACACCCGTCCCTAAACAAGGTCACGCCTTGGTTCTAGCCCGATGTTTTTGTGTGCGGCCGGGGTTTGTGTGCTTGATGTTTTTGGGAACAAATGTCTTGTTTCCTCTGGCGCTTGGACATGTGCTGCACCTCTACCGTTTATGAACAAATCCAGCACTACGGAGGACCGGGGTGTCCATTCATAGCCCCAAGAGGTCATTGGTGTCCAACTGCCCCGATGGCCTCCAACCTAAGATCACCTGATCTTCAGCAGCACCCTGTTCGGATGGTTGATGGGACCATTCTTGACGACGTATTTTCATGTATATATAGACTCTTGATTAATAGACCCCCCCCATTTGAATGCGCGCACGAACGCGGACCGTCAGAGACGAGCGCACCCACTCTTCCCCTTCCCAGGCTGTCTGGGGGGTGAAGGAACATCCTCTTGCAAGGGAGGGTTTATGAAGCGGATGTTCATCCTAGTAGTAACAAGTGCCTTACTAGTAGTAACAAGGACGCTACTAGGAAGAAGTGCATCGCTTCTAGTAACAAGTGCCTTACTAGTAGTAACAAGGACGCTACGAACGGAGCATCGCTACAAGGACATCCTGGATGTCCATCCACGTCCAAAGCATCCCATCCACCACTGGCATCTTCTGGCGTCTTCCATGCACGGGAGGCCGAACCTCGCCGTCGGAGCTCCTCGTTGTCCAGGCACTTCAGGCTGGTGAAGGGCCAAAGCGAGCGCACGCAGACGTAGCCCGCCCTCGGAAGCTGGGGCCCGGTGTCTTTGTGCTGAGACTATCGCGATTGGGTCGGGGTGGGGTGAGGCATTGGAAGAAACTCCATCGCCAAACACCATGGAATAACCTATGGAGGCTTCAAGCAACGCAAATATGTCGACGCATCATTGATTTTCCATTTTTGCCATCAATGTTTCACGATGATGAACATTCATACCCTGAGGCACTTCATTCTATAAAGAACATGTTTCCAGCACTGCAGGTCGATACTTGATTCTATGGTATGGCAAACTGCTCTCGGAGCCTGGCGTTTCATCTTATCACTGTAAAATCAAGTCTCAAGGTACACCGGAAATCCCACAAGGGATCCCCCAAAAATGGAGTTGCAGTTGTTCCTGGACAGGGTGGGACGATGCCTAGCCCGAGACGGAAGCCTTGTGTTATATAAATGCCCACTCCACAAAACCACCCGTGTAGTTGTACCTCTTTGTGGGGTTGTCATTTCATAAGTTGGGGCGCAAACCAAACCCCAGGCCAACTATGCCAAAAAATGGTCAACCATGGAAGAGAAAAAGTTACCCCTTCCGGTGGTAATTTTTTGCCGTTGCCGGTGCATTATTTTTCTTGATTGTGCTTGCCAATTATACAGAGTGGTCGTTCTGTGACATTTTGTCATGTTCTCTGTACACTGCACGTTCTTTGTCAAGTTCTCCGCGCTGTTCTGTCACCTTTTGTTTTGCTTTGGGGCCTTAGGAAACCATTAGCACACCATCTCTGTACCTCTTTGCGGGGTTGTGTCATTTATAACCCGGTTTGGCCCCTAATTTGGCCTGGCTCAATCTCCTGACGCAACCCGACATTGGCCCTGGCGTGGCCTGTGTCTAGACAAACCATTCCCTTGTGTTCGAGTTGTCATACTGTTTCAAACAAGATGCACCCGCCCCGCCCCGCCATCATATCTGGAGACCAGCCCAGCAATGTATTTACAAAACACTAGGTTGAAGTCCTTAAGAGATTATCATTGTATAAACAGGTTTGTGTCGCATTTTATGGGCAGTTCACCCTGGTCCGACCCTTCTATTAACGGCCATGTTTACAATGGATAACCGGTATTTCCACATTTCAGTTACCTTTCTACGCTTACCACACGAATCTGACACCTCATGTTTCCATCCAAAATCTCCAAAAATTTCCCCCACTGTCAGCGCCATAGCGACCTACTGCGAACCGATGCGGACGGCTGCGCTAGGTCGAGCGAACACAGTCTTGCCCCCTGGACCGCCAAATCAATCGGGAACCCGTGCTACGCATTCGGGAAAAAGAGAAGCGGCAGAAGCTAGATAAGGCACGCTATATATTAAACAAATTTAAATGTGGAATAAGGACTTGCAATTGAAAGGGTGCTGGATTAGAAGTATGAGAAGGAGAACTCATTCCAGCGCCCTTTCCCAAGTCTTTCGGGACAAAAGGAAAACGGGTCAACGGCTTTCAGCTTTCATTGTTCTTCGTACTTAAGGGCACGCCATGTTCAGAGGAGACGTGCTCAATAGTTCTATATGTTGTTCTATCACGTTCTATCTAGTTGGGAGACTCTTGTACAGTTTCAAGATCTGAGAGCAAAACGCGGGTCTTGGTCACATGCGAGTGGGCACGTAAATTGAGTGCTGATGAAGTCATTTGGTCCACAGCACCCGAAACACTCCAACCCCAGAGTTCCTGGCCCATGAGTGATTTACCTGACCTGCAAGGAAAATAGAAGTGGAGCGCATCCTGAGCCTGTTTGTATTTTTGAATTGTCTTTCCAGGGAGGGAGGGGTAATTAGGAATCGTCCTGAACAAACCGTGTTTTCATTAAGGATTTCAGCCGACAAAACCAGATCAACCCTTTTTGAAGGGTTGAATCTGGTCGAATGGTTGGGGATGTTATTTGCCCAATCTAATCTCAGGAAGTAACCAACAGTTCGGCGATTTCCTTTTGCAGTGTTTGCCACCCCAAAAGTCACAGGATCTTTCCACGTTCCCCCCACAAGTTCCGATTCTTAGCCAAGGTTGGTCTTGATTCTACATAGAACTGTGGGGACATATGAAGGTTGATTTTTTATTTTAGAAGCATGTTGGGCAACATTTGCCCAAGAGGTTGGTCTTGGTTTGATGGAGAAGTGTGGGATCATATGAAGGTTGAAATCGTTTTTTAGAAAATGTTGGACGCAAGTGGCTGGTTTTGATTCTATAGAGAAGTGTGGGGACATATGAAGGTTGAAATTGAGTTTAGAAAATCTTGCACACACGTGGGCCAAGACCTCACAGCGCACCATCCACTCTAAAATCAGTTCTCAACCTTCGATTACTCGAAACTCGAAATGCTTTCTATAGAGCCAAATGTTAGGACCTCTATAAAATCTGGTGACATGGTGAGTCCCCTCTATAGAATCAAATGTCGGCACCCTGTTGAAAGAACAAGCTGACTTTTTGGACCCCATGTTTAAAGTGCGGTGGTCTTTCAGATAGGTATAGATAGGTTGGTATTTGATTCTACAAGAAAATTGTCGACAAAATCTGAAGGTCATTTTGAGCTCAAGCTCCCAGGTTCTATATGATTCCGGCAGGGAAACTTTGAGGTGTGTTCGGGTGATTTGGGGCAATTGGTCAACCCCCAGCCAGTTTCCTATTGTGACCCTCTTTCCAGGCCGCGCGGAGCACCTTTATTTTTTTGCACTGTCTGCGCCGGCCACTTTCCGTGTTCTCGAGTTCAACGTTGAAAACAGAAAGCACCTGTCCAGAATCAAGCGCGCAAAGCGCCCACGATCAACGCCGGAACAAATGATGCAGTTGTTGGGGAGGTACTTGGCCAACTTGATGTCCGGAAGGGGCATGGCTTTCTGGACTTAAGAGATCGCAGTCGCGGGTACCGCCAAGCAGCGTAAGCCCCCGAGCTGGACCGCCCCGTCCAGGACAATGTGGCACTCGCCGGCCTCATTCAATTTCCAACTTCCATCTGCCCAGAAAGACACCAGGTACGTCTTCGGCGCTGCCCGTCTTCGGTGCCACGCCCCATCAGCTCCCCCGACTCCATTACCTGCACCAAGCGATCGCGATTCCCGCGGTTGGCTGCCACGAGCTGAAATCGAAGATGGAAGTGGATGGCACCAGCAGAGGAAAATTGCGTTTACATACGTGCATGTTCCACTTCCGGGCTAGTAGGGAAAGCAATCAATAACTTACTAGGGATGGATCGACCTCGGGGTCATCTTCGGGCGGCTCTTCTTCGGGGTGCTCCTCAACCACCCCACCCGCGCCACCATCCGCCCAGTGAGGCGTTGGATCATGTCCAGGGGCATTTGGCTGTTGACCAAATTGTGTAGGCAAAGATGAATCAGCCTGGAGCGTCGGAACGGGTGTTCTGATGGTACTTGGTTCCGATGAGGGCCCTCTGCTTAGCTTTGGCAGCTGAGTCTGTCAAAGTCCAATGGACTGGCCATTGTCTATCTCTTGGGATGCTGATGAGATCTGTGCGTCGCCCTGATGAGGTCATTTGCCTCAATGTGTTCCTTTCAAGCTGCGATCGTTTCACGGTTATCCGGACTTTGGACCATTTGTCTTTAGGTTTCCCTTCAAATCCTTCACGCATGGCCTTCGTCTGGAACCTTGTCATTTCAAGGAATTCATCTTTGGATGGATCTTCCTCCTGGTTGAAGTCTTCTGGTCGGGCTTCAAGTACTTCGCCAAGCTTCGCGGCATATAGGTAGGCGTGCCACGCATGCCTCGCGAGGCAAACGTCATGCTTCTTCAGCAAAAGGAGGATGTTGACAATCTGCTCAGGTGTGAAGCCTGGTCTCGTCTTTGCATTGCATTCGCCGACGAGGTACATAGCTTCTTTTTCGTCTTTTTTGACGAGGTTGTCACTGTCAACGGCGAGCTCAAGGTTCCTTTCACATGCTAAGTATATCCTCAAAATGCACTAGAAGAGTCGTCCAAAAACGACCTCCTTTCAGACCTCCCAAGTCCTTTCACTCACCCGACATCAGCCGGGTCTCGTGACTCCCGTAATGATACTAAGATACTAGCGATGACCTCCAACCTACAAGAGATGGCCTCTCCGCTGGTGTATAAAGCCCCAGAGAACCCGGTCCCCAGGCAAAGTGACCAAGGGCTCCAGGTGTTGACCCATCTCCAAATGCAGTTGGTAGAGGAAAAAGCACATGTTTACACAATTGTATACAATGATTCGACCAGGTTTCCATTTTGGCTAAGTGACATGTTCCACTGCATACGCACTTTGTGCTTTATAAAGTTTGGGGTTGGAAACTGGATTCTTCTTGGAGGAAAAGGATAACACTTTTATAGTGACATAGTCAACCTGCATGTGTGGAGGATGATTTTGCTGCGCAGGCGTAGGGTTTTGTGAAACCCTCAGTTGCCTTCGCTGTAACAGCGGGATTGGTGTTCGCAGGGTGGTATGTTGGAGGCGTTAGATGTGGCTGCGTCGAAGCTGTGTCTTTTCATGACACGTCTCAGCTAAAATGGCGAAGGATTTTGGTGGATGTGAGTGTGCTGATGGTGCACGTGCTGATGTTCTCATTCCAAACGTGCTGATCTGGTGCACGGTGCACGTTCGCCTTCAGTAGCGTCACGGCGTCGAAGTGGAATTCTGAGGGGGGGGAACGGCGCGTTGAAGGAGGGAAGGTCGACGTTTGGAGGGGCTGGGATTGCGAAGCGCAGGGCTGCTTGATGTCGTGATGAGACCCACTGAACACAATTCGTCAGGATGTCTTGCATGGGTTTTCGATGGTTTTCGAGACTTGACGGGGCGAGTTTCGTCTCGTGGGAAACGCTCGGAAGGTTGGCAAAATGATGCAAAATGCGAGGTCAGTGATGCTGTCCGCAAACGGAATCCTTGACACTGAACACAATCGGAAGCAACAAAAAGACCTCCGCGTGAGCGCTATGCTCGAGATCCTCAGCGCCAAACCAGAGAGCACCGAGGGCGAAAAACGCCCACGGCGTACTGCGCCTTCTTCTTGTTCGGTTGCACCCACATTGGGATCTAGTTTCGGACACCGGGTACCCACAGCTGTGCGACAGAACGACCCACAGCTTGAGGGCACGGCAAAAGGCCATAGTCGTTGGCCCAAACCTGGAGCGAGTTGGGCGAGTGTTTAGCTGGTGAGTCGTGGCAAAGGGGTTCGAAAAACAGATGTTGAGCAGCCCTTGAGGACGGCCACATTTGAGAACAATCGACCGATGCGCTCTTCCGCCATCGTGTCGTGCATCACCAGTCGCCCGGTCCCCGCACGAACCAGGTCCCTTTGAAGGCCCAAACGCTGATTCTCCGAGGTTTCGAGCCATGGGATTGATTACATCGAACGTACCGATACGACGAACCGGAACACCGAACCGACGAACCGGTGTTCCCGTACCGATGACTCGCGATCTCGGTTGGTGAGTTTGAAATCCCTGGAGTGACTGGACCTCTCAGTTTTGAAGCCACATGAGTCCAACCCTTCCAACCGTTCCAGGCTGCACTGCCTCGATCTCCAGCACTGCAGGGCTCTTGGAGGGCGGCAGTGTCACACAGGCCTCGTGAGACACAGAGCGATGCTTCGAAGAGGGATATACCCTAAGTCCCTTGTAAACATGGCCATCCACCAACATACTCATCCACCATGAAGACTTGATTTCCATATATACCATAATTGTGCTGCCCAACGCCATCTCTTTCCGGTCGACGTCCGGTCGGTCTCTGTCGCACGGGCCCCCCGTTGGTGGGCGTACAGCGCCGGGTGAAACCGACTCATCGACCGTATCCTCTCTTGAGTTGCATGGTGGCCACCGCCGAACTTGACGTCGTCAGCTTCTACGACCGGTCTCACGACCTTTTTGTATGGGATATTTGGGCTCATTTCCATGTAGGCAAATATGTCCTACAGAGATCCTTGGGGAATGGGATCCCGAAGTATCCAAATCCATTTTGGCTGTATTTCATCTCCGGGAAGACGCCGATGATCCGTCACGGCACGGACCGCCACGGTCTGACATCTTACGGTCCAAACCATTTGATGTTTGCTCCCTGCAGGACCTCTCCAACGCTCCAGGGCAGTGACCGTTTCCATGAATCCGCTTCGATTGGTCCTGGACCCTGAGGGGACACCCTTTGTCACTTGGATTTAGATGAGTGGTATTTGTTGAATCATTTAGTTGGTATGGATGTCATCCTAAATCATCTTAATTTAACAACTGAACAACCACAATTTCATGTCATCTCTTGGGCTTGGAAAGCAACTCCCCTGGACCGCCCATTTCTTTTGGGTTCCGGCCCGTTTCGCCCGCGGGTGGGTCCCCCAACCGGACCCGCTGCGGCCACTGCCTGCGACGTTTCGTTTCGTCCGTCCGTGGGGGGTTTTGGGGGTCGAACTTAGCAGATTCCTTCGGTTTCATGAGATTTCATCCCGGTTCCATGTGGTCCATTTGCGACTTGGGGTGTTCTTTCCAACAAAGGTTGAAGAACCCTAGATCGACTATCCCAGTTGGGGAATTTAGGTGAGACGGCCCTTGGACACTCTCGGTGGAGCCCACTACTACTAGTAGGTTGGAGGCCACTACTATTAGTCCCTATGAACCACCGCCACCGAACCTGAGGTACGGTCATTGGAGACGAGACTTATGTAGGCGCTAGGAGGGTCCAATTACCTTCTGAGGCAGGTATGTGGATCCATAGGGCATGATATTTCATCTATAATGTTGACTCTTGATTAGTAATACCCCCCCTCTAACAATTGAGACTCCTGATTAATGTTCACTATGAAGCAGCATTTTAATGGTCTGGAAACAAACATGAACACCTCAATGAGATTTGTGAACAAAAACACATTCATTTTGACAACATACTGGTGCGCTGGATGGGTTTACTCGTTGATGTCTTTTCTCGTTCTCAAGCTGTTGAATGATGCTGAACTGTTGTGTGAGTCCTTTCTGAGTCCACATCCTGACAGAGCTGACAAGGCCATTAAACTCGATCTCAACGATTTTTTGGCTTTGCAATGACCATTCCTAACCTGAAGAAGCCATTGGGTTCCTCCCTGTAGATGAACATGCGAAGCCCAAGGGCGACCCACTGACTTTGGTACGAAGTGGCAGTGGGAGAATTGGATCGTTGAGTGCTACATGTGCTATAGAGCGTTTTGATGGCGGAAGGCAACCACCCAACGGTGGGGTGTGTGCACCGAAGCTGCTTGGGTGCGGCAGCTCCTATGCTTGCTTGATGGGGAAACCAATCTCAACAAGGTTTTGCAGGTTTCTAGGCCTCCTCATTGGTGGAGGCCATTGCCCTTAGGTTGGAGACCGCTCTCAGGCCTCTTCATCTTGTGGCTCGGCCAGACCTTGAGCTGCACGGCTGATGGGGATCCTGGCGTAACACCGGGGATCCAAGGGGGCGTTGCCAAGGGAAAACGTCGAGAACCTCCTGACTGTCATGAGAACGCCCCGTCCAACTCGGAAAAACGGTGTCGGATCGACGGTCTTAGTTTGGAGATGAATTTGCAAATACTGATCGAATCCGATCTGTTGGGGTCACTGTTCGATAGGTGGGAGATGGTAAGTATCTCAGTAACGATGAAGGAATGAAGGGAACATCCAAAATGTTGATGCTGGTACATAGTTGCTGATGATGCCCATTTGGGTGGGTGCGAAGTTCACACAGGGTAGGAAGTTTGGGGATGGCATCCCCGATTCAAAGAGCATTAAAGTAATTGGAATTGGATGCTTGGAACAAATTTATGCTGAAGGAGCTGCCAAGTCATAAAAGCCGACGATATTGGAAGAAATTCTGTACTATACCAACTGCCAAATGATGGGTTATGAATAGGACATGGTCTATCTCAGGTAATGGAGGATTTCTTCCTTCATAGATCCGTGAGAAGTGGGCTATGCCCAGTTGTTGGTGTAGATCCATGAACCTTCCCACGGTACAGGGACGTGATGTGGGTCAAAACGGTGGAACCCTGTTTGACCAGCAAACACGAAGATATAACTGCTATAGGATCTACTAGGCTACTGGCTCAACCTCACCGGATGAAACGTGCTCCGGGTTTGGTCGCCGCACAGCAGGATCTGAAGCCGGTTTGGGGGTTGGATCCGAAGCACCGGGGGGTTTGGGGACCGGGATAGGTCACGTTTGGCCAAGTCATTTGACGCCAAGTCATTCGACGATCGGAAAGCACCCCTCCGGCGATAGTTGAACGCTCCACGTCCCAAGACCACGTTCGCGGCCTCTTGGGCCATGCAAGGCCCAAAAACAGCGTGGAACGTGGAGGGCAGGGGGACCGTTCCCAAAAACGACGACATGTATGACCTTTCCGTTTCACGACCTTGTCGCGAAGTCTGACGAGGTCTTGATCTAGCACCCCAGACCCGAAGAAGAGATGTCTGAGGACGAATCCTCTGAATCCTTTGCAGGTCCGTCTCAAAGTTCCCCGAAGTTGGTCGGACCAGTCGACCAGTCGATCTGGAGGGTCTGGGCAGAAAGACCCTTCGCCCACTTTCCCGCGGCGGCCGTGCAAGAGGAACCACCGCGGTTCGGTTACGGCCGGATTCGCGTAGCCATTGGGAGAACCATTCCCCTCAACACCGCGCCTCCGACCCAAAGAGGAGTCTCAGACCGAAGAAAAACGGAGAAAGACATGTCATACCAGGAGCGAAACAAACCAAATGGGGATAGAAAGAACATGTGCAAAGCATTTTCACCCACAGAACTGCGCTAACAGCCGCTAGCACCGATCTGAACAAAACGGCGGGAAGGTCAACACTTTGGAGAAGCTCGTGCCTGTGAGGAAGCTCGGGTAAGGGCCTGACGCAACGAGGATTCTGCGGGCGTTTTGGTCACGGGGGAACTCTTCAAGCTCTGTCGATCACGGATCGACGCACGCGGCTAGTCGACCTGAGGACCTCCCGCGTGTGTGTGCCACGCGTTTTGGAGCTCGTCTTTTTTTCGGGGGCGAAAGAAAAAGGGAATTCATGAATCCAACTCTTGAGGTGTTCGAGAATGACAGGTGTTTGAGCTTGGAATATATTATATTATATATAGATCCAATCCTGGAGAAACATCCAGCCACATTTCAAAATTGCTGTACCTGAGTCATTCTGCTCCGAGTCGTTTGTGACTCCAAATCTTCTCACGTGGGGAGCCCCTGGACGGTCCCCTACAACAGACGACCAGCACCCCGGCAGACTTTTCATGGACCCCGGCAGACCCATGTCTTTGTGGCTTCGACGTTCATCCATTGTCCCCCTACCAACCTCGTTTTTTTTTTTTCCGTCCCTCCATGTAGTCCTCTGCAGGGGGGACCAAAAAAGACCCCCCAAAACGGTGGGTTTCTGGACTCCTTACCCGCACGGTGGAGTGGAGAACTCGTTCTCCGACCTGTATGAGATCCGAGTCGGAATGAGATCCGCCCTGCCATCGACCGTTTGGGGTCGGTCCATCCTGCCCAGGAGGATGGGACCTGGTTTCAGGCCAACATCCACATCTAAATACTGGTGAGATATTCTTGTTGTCTTCTTGTTGACCCTGAACCGGCTCTAAAGGTTGACTGGGACCCTCTCCCCCAATTCTTCCAGGCAGTGTATATGTCTATATAACAGTCGGATGCTTAAGAAACCAATCCATTGAGGTTCCAAGCAGCAACCGGCGTCCCGTCCGAACCCCCAGAACCTGAACTGGGGCTCATCCGTGGACGGATTAGTCCAGCTGCCTTGGTGGAACCTGAAGGGGTTCATTCAGAGAGGTTTCTTAATACTCCAGGGCTACAATCTGCAGATCTGAAGTCTTCAGTTGGTCTGTCTTCTTTTCAAGTAGTCAAAAACCTGAACTTTTTTTCTTCCAAACACCCAACTTCCTTGAAGGACTCATACTTCTGCAGGCCTGAGTGGACTGACCTGACCTGAGTGGAGTGACCATATGCTGATCCTTCACAAGACTGCTTCGAGGTGCGGATCCCAAACGAGGTGCGGATCTACTCCACCGAGTTGCGCCGCACAAACCTCAACGGCCAACCGAGGATCTTCTGAACAAAAACATCCATCCGTCATCCGTCCTTGAATCAAAGCTATCCAAATTAAACATGAACCCGCCCTAGAAGTCCAAAGACTATATTCTTGGGACAAATAAAGATCATTCCTTAACTCAAGTCCACCTCGTCAGACCTGTGGCAACCGTTTTCTGTTCTGGACTCCCCAAACATGACACCGATCCCTTTCAGTGTCCTGGCGCCAGGGTCTTCGCTTTCAGCCGAGTCTTCGCCTCTTGGTCTCTCCCGTCTCACCACCCACGCGCGCCGCCCCCGCGCCGCGGTGGCCTAGGCGCATCGGCGAAGAGCTCGAAGAGCGCCGTGGCCTTCTGCGCCGCGGTGCCTGGTGAAACGAGCGCCGGTGGTGCCGGTGCGGAGGCGCTGTTCGGGCGGCTTTTCGGCAGGAACGCAGGGAGAACCGTTGTACGAACAGGGGGAAACCACTGGGGAAACCTGATGAATTTGGGGTGGTTTTGGAATGGCGCTCGTCCATTCTGTTCATTTTGGGTCAACCCAGGTAGCCATGGAACTTTGACGCACAGCCCGCCACTTTGTTCCATGGACTTCACTGACCTCACAACGATCCGATCTTCCACCTACGCACTTCTCATCACTTCTCCCAGTGCGAAGGTGGAGAATGTGGCTGCATTCGATGATTCCAATATGAGTTGAAGCCAACACCCGCAAAAGCTCCAAAGCCAAGGATGCCCGGGTGCGAATCCCACCGCAGCGGTGTACGAAGTGATGTGACAGGTACGCCGCTCATCCGCTCTTTGCTCATTTCCGCTCATCTGCTCCAGTTTCCAACGAAAAAACACACGCAAAAGTCCCAGTACCGCCCACCTCGTGCACAGCAAATGAGTACCATGATGAACCTGAGTGTCTCAGCGAATGGCCGAGAGGCCCCGTGGTTAGCGAACAGGGGGAGGGGCAGCATACACGATACTCCAATGCGAAGAGGATGACCGAAGTTTTCACCATGGACAAGCTACAACCACTAGTGATCCTCTGAGGGCCTCCAACTTGCATCTTTAATTCTGAGTCTGCCTTTTAGCACAAACACTTACCTTGGAACTACCCCCCTTGAACACAACCAAGGCTAGGTAGAACACATGTCTAGCCTGATTGCTTGTGCGCTGGTTGCTGATCATTTCAACCCTCCGCTGATCCTTGTGTGACTACTGGCGTGGTTTATATAGTTCTTGCAAACAAAAGGCCCATGCCCTCCTGCCAACCCAACAAAAAATCACACCCACATCACACACACACACAATGTTTCGCCATGTTGCAGATGTTGGAGGGAATTATCTTGTAGATGTGAATGGGGCCACCCCAAAAATTCTCTTCTCTCCATAGATTGTCATCTATGTTTGTCAATCCCACTTCGACCCACCCTGCGCTCTGGCTATCCGGATCTTTACAGACAGGGCAAAATGTTCATAGACTTACAGGTTCTTGATGCAACGACTGGAGCTGGTGCAAAGAATGAGCTGGTGTGCAATCCTCAGAGCTGGTTGCCTGGCGCGATGCCTGGCGCAAAGACCAACCCGCCCATCCCACCCATCTCGCTCAAGTCGCTCGGTGAAGCTCATTTGCTCCTCTTCAGGCCTGAGTGTTCATGCGACGACTCGTCCCGTGAGTACCGAAGCCACCACGCCGAAGCCACACAAACGTTGGCACCACACATCGCGGAGCTGTGGTGTGACGTTTGTGGCAGTTCTTGTGTTCAGGCTGTCTCTGGGGATGCATTTTTTAAAAACTGTATTTTGCCCGCAAACCGCGTGGTTGTAGACAGCGGCTGGGGGTGAGGATCAAGAACGGTCATCATTCGGTCAACGATTTGTGTGGTGGCGATTTGGGTCACAGAAATGGTCAGTTTGTGGGTTCTCAGGTGTTCTCAAGAAACACACATCAGTAAGTTACAGTTACAAACAGTGGAATTGAACTGCTTCTGCACAGGACCACCCCAAAACGCCCCCAACCCCAAATGGGAAACGGCATCGAAAAGGCCTTCCTTGCGGCATCCGAGCCTCCCGCATCCCGCGTCCCCTCCGAATGCGCCCGTGCGTCCCGCGTCCCCGTGGTTCGCACGGCGACGAAGATCGCCCCCCTCTGCCTGCCGAAGCGGAAGGCAGCAAAGATCTCCTCGCTGCAACCGATCCGTCGCGGCTTCACGACCACGAACAAGCCACGACCACGACTGAACCAATTGAAGAAGTGTGTGTGCTCGAAAAAGGGCAAACGCCGAAAGTCTTCAAAACATCAAACATGCTGAACATTTGAAGGATCTATGTTTGGGTTTGTTTGGACCACGTCGTGCCCGACAAACTTCCAAAAATAATATCGCCATCGCTAACAAACGCGCTACTTCACCAGCTACCCCAGAAAATGCCGCCTCTTCTAGCCTCTTGTTCTCCTGGGACCCCCATCGAGTGACTCGCATACCACGTCGTACCACGTACCCACACGCTATTAGTAACAAAGGGCATCGCTACTAGTAGCAAGGACGCTACTAGTAATAGCTCCTGGCCTTACTATGACAAGAAACTACTAGGAGCGTTCGGACGCTATCAGATCTTTTGAAGCAAAGACCTCAACTGATCGGGTCGCGTTCCGTGCTTCGCGACCTGGTCGACCCCGACCGGGTCTTTCCCCAATCCGTGGGACTGGAATCTGGGACTTTGACATTTGTCAATGGTCAATTGTAGTGTCAATGGGTTTGGTGCGCCAGTCAATGTTCCTTTTTCCAGGGGGTTGAACTCTGAGGTCTCCCGGTTTCAATACAAATCCATTCCAGTCCCACGATCGTGTGGTGTTGAAGTCGTGCTACTCATCGGGACCCCACTTGTTTCGGCTCCTCTGCTTGTCCACTCCAACCTGCAGTGCTTTTGCGCCAATTTGCAGTGCAGGAGCCGGGTTTTCGGCGCCACAGATTGGGAATTCAGCCAGGAACCGGGACAAAAAACGATCACCCGAACACCCGCAAAAGCCGTGCTTTTTGGAGATGACAATGGATGACAGAACTCCGGTGGGTTTCCCACAGATTGGTTTCTGGGAAGTCGCTTCGTTCTAATTCAGAGACGTTTCCCTATCAGCGGAATGCGAATCTGTAGCCGGCCCTGGTTCATCAGGAACCCATGCCATCATGCAGGACTCAATTTACAGTAGATTCATGCCTCTCGACATCGTCAATGCGCATTTCGACTGCGCAGGCTCGCAAAGTCTGGGTGCCCCGGGCGGGTGCTTCTAACGACTGCGCTCTCGTTGTGGTGTCGTGCGCATTTCCGCACATGATGGTCACTTTTCGTGGCAGGTGCAAGGGAAACCTCGAGTTTTCGTGCTTCAAAGTCGACTTTTCGTGACAGGTGCAAGGGATCGGAGCTGTTTTACTTCGAAATGCAGTTTTCGTGGCAGGTAAAGTACTTTGGACACGGTGGTGATCTTCGACGAGCTCTGATTTCGTGACAGGTGCAGTGATCGACATGTGGCTCGTTTGCAGATTTGGTGGCAGGTACAGCACTTTGTGAACCTCGACGCGCAGATTTCGTGGCAGGTGCAGCGCTTTGTGAACCTCGAAGTGCAGATTTCGTGACAGGTACAGCACTTTGTGAACCTCGAAGTGCAGATTTCGTGGCAGGCACACAGCACTTTGTGAACCTCGAAGTGCAGATTTCGTGGCAGCACAGCACTTGGTGAGCCTCGCAGTGCAGATTTCGTGGCAGGCGCAGCGCTTGGTGAACCTCGAAGTCCAGATTTCGTGGCGCGCGCAGTACTTTGTGAACCTCGAAGTGCAGAGTTCGGCGCAGGCGCAGCACTTTGTGCTCTCAGATGCTCACTCTCTCACTCTCACTCACTCTCTCACTCTCACACTCACTCTCTCACTCTCACTCTCACACTCACTCTCTCACTCTCACTCTCACTCCCACTCTCCCACTCACTCTCTCACTCTCTCACTCTCTCACTCTCTCACTCTCTCACTCTCTCACTCTCTCACTCACTCACTCACTCACTCACTCACTCACTCACTCACTCACTCACTCTCTCTCTCTCACTCACTCACTCACTCACTCACTCACTCACTCACTCACTCACTCACTCACTCACTCACGCACACACGCTCACACTCACACTCACTCTTCACTCACACTCACATTGACATTTGGAGGCTCGCAGTGCTGGACATAAGTAAAATGGCACGAAATTGGAGCACGCGTCATGCGCCCCTTTGCCTTTGTACAATGCGACCTCCCTTCCATGCCAAAATGCAGCTTTCGCTCGAGACTTCCGCCGCTTTTTGCAAACGAACCACATGTCAAACACTGCCAAAAGGTCATGATTCACTCGCCTGCCACGAAAAGGCGACTTTGGACCACCCAATTTTGCGTCAACGAGAGCAGCCGCGCCAGCCCAGCAGATCCTGGGAGCCTGCGCAGTCGAAATGCACTTCGAAGATCTCGAGGTGAATGAATGCACTGTAAGGCCGTTAGCGGATGCAAGAACCTCTGGTCAGAACCTTGCCTTAACCACTACCGTAAGAACCGCTAGTGTTAGAAACTGCTGGTTCTCACTTTTGCGCTTAGAACCTTCCAGAAGGCACACTTAGAAACTATAAGGACATCAGGAAAGCTAGCAAAACTCCCGTCTTTTCACACACACTCTGACACTGGTTTTCAGTTAACTCAGTTGCCACGATGGGAAGGATGGCGACGGAACAGTAAGGTGATTGGGTCCGATCACTTGAAGTGTTTAACATTGTTTCACTCGCTCTGCTGAAAAATGCTGCACATCTGCGGTGGAAAGGGGGGTTTATGGGAGGAAGCATGAACAACCATGGAAACAAACCGAGAGTGGAACAGCTTGACCAAAAGTTGAGCGCAGGTACGTCGGCAAGCGTCCTCGCCGATATCAGCACAACCTGAAGAGCCTCTTTGTTAGATGCCCTCTCTTCAGGTGTGGGGCATCCCCCTGCTTGTGAGAAAAGCGGGAAAGTGATTGGAAAAACCCTTAGAAACAGGGTGTGACACACACACACACACACAGCTCTGCCCTGCCAAACACGTGGAACGTTGAAGTGTGCAAAACTCTCTGTTTTTCCATAGTGAGGTCAGCCGTGCATTGAGGGTCCCATGCAAAAGAGGATCCACTATATATATATATACTGTATATAATGTATATTGGTAGATGTTACGTCAAAGATAAGTGAACATTCTTATTGATGCAATGTTTTGTTCTAAGTGTACGTGTTGTTCCAAGCGTACATGTTGTGTTCATTCTAAGTGTAGGTTTTCCCATTGTTCTAAGCCTTACACTTAGAACCTCTCTCGGGGACGCGTGTATAAGTATAAGCCTCAAAGTACGTCAGAAAATAGGTACAAGTATCTGTTATAGGGCCATGTCCCATTTTCTAGAGTACTTTGGAGGGTCCAGATATATAAATATAGTTATTTTCTTTCAGGAAACAAAACACCTGAAAAACACCTTCTGAATCGTAGACCAGATACTGTTTGGGGGATCGTCACTTTTGAACCCGATCTTGCTTTCAAATCTGTTTCTGTCGATTTTAAGTCGTGCAGGTTGAACAGCCCAAACGTGCTCCTTCAGTTGTTGAGTGTTCTCTTCTGGTCTCAGGGTTGACCCTCCCAACCCCTCTAATTGACGGTAGGCTCTTGATGAGAATAAACACCACCCCCAATTGGATGCGCTACACCTCTTTCCTATGGATAAAAGCAAAAAAGGAAACAGAGCTCCACTGCTTGACCTCGTGGCGTTGTTCGAGCTCCACTGCTCCTCGCCGTCGTCGCGCTCTTCATCAACAGTCTGCCCCAGATCGATCCGCACCCCACCTGGGAGCTTCTCCATGACCCCTTCCCACCTGTCCGGTCGCTCCGGGTCGCTACATGAGGTCGGTCGGTCAGGTCAGGTCAGGTACAGATCCAGGCTGAAGCGAAGCGCCCCAGTGACCGAACCACCCACCCGGAAGACGGCCTATCAAACACAGCCTATCAACTGGGTGGTGCACCACCCTCCTAGTCTTCCCATCAATCAACCCAAAGTGTAACCCGCAGGCCATCGTCATGCTCTTCCATTGTGTCCAAGCAAAGGACTGGGTCCACAATGTTCGGACTGGGATCTTCAGGACTTGCGCGAGTCTTAGGTCTTGTCTTTTAGTCCTTGACTCCGGCCGAGCAGGTCAATTCGGAGCCTTCGGCAATGTTTCTTTTGAGACCAGAGACCGGAGAGAAGTGCCAGGACGCCGCTCGATGGCTCAAAAACGTGGCAAAGTCAGGGCCCGCCACTCGATGACTCGAAGTGAAAGCAGGTCTAAACCCAATCCTTTCAAAACAAGAACACCACCACCACCAGCAGCAGCAGCAACAACAACTCCACAAAACTACAAAGGTAGCTTGGCATTGCTGGCCCATTCAAAAAAACCAACTGGTACCCTCCACACAGATTTCAGTGCCCACTCCGCCTGTCAAAGTTGAAGTCGGGGCTACTGGGCGGTGCCTCAAAACGAGAGGGCGTTGGGTCTTCCGACCCTCCAAGGACCCCGAAGGGACACGAAAAACCAGTTCGACGTCTTCGACCTTCAGATGTCCTTCGAAGAGCAAACCACGAAAACCGCTTGACCGATGAAAAGCGGTGGGCCGGTCCTATTTCAAGTCGACCTATTCTCCTATTCCACGCTTCGCATGGCATAGATGGGTCATATTCCTCACCATCTTCGCCCACCCCGTCCACCATGTGCAGAACTACCGACCACCGTGGTGAACCCTTCGATCTGCTGGTGCCATGACCCACATCCCACGAACAGCCCAACGAATGCAAAGCCCAACGATGAACAGGCACAGGCCAGGCCAAACAGGCCCCACAACTGCGAAGACACGGCGAGATGACACTTGCACAAGACTGTTTTATTGGAAGCCACAGCGCTGCGGCAGCAGCAATGACAACTAGCAATAAGCACAGTGACAATACACATAGTGCAAGTCATAGAGGCACCAGCCATGGCAAGTCAAAATGATCAAAGTAACAACCAATCTATATGAATGATACCATCCACAAAAGATCTGTTTTACCCTCGCCGCTATGGGCTGCTGATTGTTGGACATTGGCTCGGAGTGCGATTGTCAAGAGTCATTGCAAATACCATCTCTCCAACAAACAACCCCTGTTTGTAGCGGATTTCATGGTCTTTCCAGGGGGCACATACCATCTACGATCTACGATGATGACCTTGGAGGGCAACTAATTTGCTTTGATGTTCTATCACAAAGTACGACAGCTTTCCGGAAGCCGTGACGACTTCACTCCATGACATTTTTTTCCCTAAGCAAGCCGTGATTTCCCCAGTGCACCCCAGGCTAAGGAACCAGGGATTCGTTCGGTCTATGGTTTGGTCGTCGAACTGGAACCACTGGTGACCAGCGTTTCATCGTGGTTTGCTTGGATGCCCTGGGTTCCGACCTTTCCCCGGAAGACGGGACCCTGGACACCCGGCTCTTCATATGACCCGGAGAAGGCCGGAGACCGGTCTGCACAGGATGAGCCTTGACCCAGCCCCATCCCGCATGATATCCTGACATTGGAGAGATATCGTAACCCAATCATTTGGAGTGTTGAACCATCGATTCTCTTCGATTTGGCCTGCTGAATGCTCTCCCCAATAGAAGGAAAACATATGTGCCCCAAAACCCCAAAACCACCACCCCAAATCCCGACGTCATTCGTCGTTCTGCGTGTCTTTTCGGGTTCTCCCCTGCAGAGGACTATACATGGAACCCCAAAACGGCCAAACGATTGGTCCATCCTATTAGCCCGGTTCCATGTGGTCCGTTTGCGACTTGGGGTGTTCTTTCCAACAAAGGTTGAAGAACCCTAGATCGACCATCCCAGTTGGGTACCCCAGGTGAGACGGCCCTAGGACACCATGCTCGGTGGAGGCCACTACTACTAGTAGGTTGGAGGCCACTACTACTAGTCCCTATGGATCCACTGCCACCGAACCTGAGGTACGGTGATTGGAGACGAGACTTATGTAGGTGCCAGGAAGGTCCAGTCTTACCTTCTGAGGTTCTGTGGCGGTGGATCCATAGGGAGTAACAAGAAGCGGACCGAATGTCACAGTTGTGTTCTGCGCTCCTAGCCTGGTCACCGACCGGTTCATCGTCTCCGGGTCCGGCGCCTGTGCGATGTCCAGGCTGGGTCCGGTCCAGGTGGCACCCACCTGAAAAAACGCGAGGTGCGGCGGAGGTGAAGCACCCACACCGTGAAAACATGGGCAGCTGGGTGACTAGTGTGACGAAAGTCTATTTAGCCCACTTATGGTTGGGATGTTAGAGGTCTTTTTCTTTGACCAACCATGGTTTTGGGATGTTTTTACTGTGCTTTCTTAGAGTGTATTGCTTAGGGGCGGATGGTCTTCACTGGCCGCGGCATAGGTGCGGACGAGCCGGTTCCGCGGCGAGATGTGGAAGACCCGGTTCTGCGCCGGGCCCAAGCTGGGCGACCCCAGCTGGGCGACCCCAGCTGGGCGACCCCAGCTGGGCGACCCCCAACCAGCTGGGCGACGGCGTGTGAAATATGGTACAAACGTTCGGCTTAAAACACATCATTTGCATCAGTCATTACTCTGTGATCTTGGCATAGGTAGAGCTGGATCGAACTTGGCCCTTAGACCCATGTTGCCTCATATTTGTCTCGCAGGCTTCTGGACTAGGGCCTACCTTGAACAGGCCAGGATCCTAGTGAAACACTTAAGACCTGCCAAATGGAGTCACAACTTGTGACCGACCGAGCCAGGCCCTCCTGTGGCCGAGTCAACCGCAAGATGAATACTTCGATCACGAAGAACCAGGTTCCCCTTCAGACAGGGCTTCCTTGTGGCCCTAGCTCAACTGGTCTGTTCAAGGTGGGCCCTGGCTCAACTTCAACTTCATGCCTGGTGCGTTTAGCAAACCGAGGCCCCCGCTAGTGCGGCCAGTCTAGAGGTGAGACCCACCTCAGCACATGCAAAAAGGGAGAGACCGGATTAAGAGCACTGGCAGTCACTATAATAGTTGTCCCCAAATATAGTTTTTTGTTTGTGGGATCTACTTTTCTATCTATTTGGGGAAGACATCAAAGTATATTGTATAGTTATGTAACTTTGTATATATGGTGTTGGAGGATTCTTGGCAACGGCAAGGTTTCCACCCAAAGTTCGTATGCGGGCGTCATCTCTATAGTTTATGTTCGAGCAAACCACAAAATCTCAAGCCGAAGTTATCTTATTGAAGGAATGGTCAGCAGGCTAATTAGCTAACATCCTCCTTCTGGGCGGGAGAGTCCACGAAGAGCTCATTCGGGGCCCTGACGTTCGTTTTCTCCGTTAAAAGACCACCACTGAACCACCGAGATGTTCTCTGGAGCCACCTTCCACCAACAACCAAAAAATACATCGACTTCGTGGTGCAAAATGCCGCGTCACCACCATGCTTCGTCGAGATGAAGACAGGAGCTTTTCGAACGAAATTTCCCACACTTGGGCCATGGTGGAATCCCTGCCATCGACCGCTTCCTGCCATCGAGCGCTTATCGACCCCACTGCCGTCAGGGGGCGAAGTCACTCGAAAAGATCAGCTCCAGCAAGGCCTGGAGGTACCGAGTCACCCGGGAGGGTCCCGGTCGGAGCCTGGGTGAAGGGGAGGGAGAAGAAACCTCGAGTGAATTCAAATCAATACGTGAGTGAAGTAAGAGATGTCTGTGGAGAAACCTTGAACTATATTATATACCCTAGAAGTCCAGTGAACTACGATATTTTCACCGGCTGAAGTGTTCAGGAAGTTCCCGAAATCAGGTCCCCGTTCGTCAGACCCATTCTTTTTATAGTCTGACCGACTCCGTTGGCCCGTTGACCACCCGACCGACCTTAAGTCGTCGTCTGCGAGACGTGGGGGGGGTTCGATGGGTCCTGTTGGACGGTTTGGTAGCCTGCAGTTGGTAGGTCCAGGTGGTACAGATTCAAGGGACCTCGCCAGGGGTGGTGAGTGAATTGTGGAGTTTTCTTTCCCCCAAGCCTGAGTCCAGCTGCAGCAATTCTCACAATCGTCTGACGCTGATACTCAGCAGCAGGGACACAGAGGGCGGAGGGAGAAGCCGCAGAAGACCTGTTTGGGCACATCCTCGAAGCCAGTGAAGTCCAGGCCCCCTTACAAAAGCCGACAGCTTAATATAACATCATATAACTAGTAGCGATGGTCTCCAACATGCTAGAGATGGCCTCCAACCCACTAGCGATGGCCTCCAACCCCCTGCAGGGGGACTACATGGAATCCTAAAAATACTGGGTTGAAGAGGACAATGGTCGAAACCACAGGTATATTCGCAGGGTCCCATGGGATCTTCTGAGAGTAGTAGGTGAAAGGTGGTGTTGTTCATGGATGATCCATACCATGAACAGTCAAGAGACCTGTGCCCTTTTTCGTCAAATTGTGACTGGGATATCATACTTCGTGTGTACAGAACATCAACATCACAGCCTCAAAACACAAGACTCACAAGATCCTAAACCCAACGAGAATTGGACACCATCAGCCCTGTATCGACCCTTCGTTGGATCTTCAGCCCTGATGTTTTGCCTTAGGACCAACCAACCGCCCAACACAGTGCGGCACCCCACCCCATCCCCATCCCATCCAAACCCGATTCCTCCAAGCACATTCCCCGAAGAAAAAGAACACCCTTGCTGGAGCACTGTGCCATCATGCCATCTGTGCCTTCTTAAGATGATCCGCCTCAAACATGAACATTCCTCTCACATTCCTCCCGATGGCCTGTGGGAGCGCCCTTGCTGGGATTGCTTGAAGGTCGGACTGAGCCAGGTCCAGCGCTGGCAGCACCTGGACGACGCCAGGTCCCAACGCGGACGACGACGACGTGGACGGCGGCAGGGGAGTCGAGTCCCTTCACTCACCTGGAATTGATGCGAGGGGCCCCTGATGCGACGGACAAGTAAATCGTTTTTATCGCACAAGAGGAACTCTCTTCGATCTATTTCAGGGACACTGTCCAGCTCACCCAAGCGGCCAGGCAAAATACCAAGCACGTGCATTTTCTCCTTTTTAACCATTCCACCTCATGGAATCATAGAATAAACCTCTTCCTGCAGTGGTAGAAGCTATGACAGCTATGACGCACCAAACGCCCCAGACTCCGCCGGGCCAACCGGCGGAAAAGGAAAGAACTCCAGTCGACAAAAGAAGATTGGATCCAGCCGACACGGATTGGTGAGAACAACCCAGACCCTGTGGCCCCAAATGGAGGGTCCAAAGTCGCGGGATGTCCCGGGTCCCCTTGGGGTCACTGCAAGCAGTCTTCGTAATTAGCACCAACTGCAAAGTGGCATAAGGGATGTAGCACTGCCGGTTTTGAGGGATGCGACTTCAAGAATCACACTTGCAAACGTTCCACAGGTTTTAGTCTGTGTTGCAGATATTTCCATCAGCAGGGATAGGCGATAGGGAAAAAAAGGTGCACCTTGTGTTTTAGCCGTAGAGCCATAGTCAAGTGTTCTGTTGTTCCCAATGCACATATTCAATTTGCAAAACACAAGTTAGACGACCATGTTTGACCCTTCACACTGACGGCTATGTTTTAGCTATGTTTCGACTACTAGTCAGACATAGTCAGACCATTAGACTAGCTAGCCTAGAAGTCCAGTTCGACTATATTTTGACCGACTGAAGTAAAGGAAATTCCTTTTTTGGGTCACCTAAAGACCATTCTTTTTATATCTTTTTATAGTCTTTCACTCCCAGGAGCTATGTCGCCTGGACTCGGGACTCGCCTGGTCTATCCCTTTCCGCCGGTCGACGTGACCATTCGAGATCCCCCCGACGAAGCGATGCGGCGCAGGTTGGGTGGTTCCAGGTAGTTGAGCCCGAAGACATCAGTTTGGTGGAAAAGGGCCGTTTTTTAAAGGAGAGTTGTCTTCCAAGTTCCGGGCCTGGAATGTCCACTTCTATGTCTTCGACAGTGTGTATGATGGAGCGTCAGTCTTCAATGACCAAAACGGCATCCGGCGGTCGCCAGAAGGCCTTTTTGCATTCAACTGGATCCTCTCATCTAGGACAAGGCGCTCTTTTCGCGCATCCCAGTCGCTTCCTTTGTATGTACAGTGGATCTGCACCATCTCTCGAAAGGTGCCTGCTTGATCCGCCTCTCAAAGCTTCGGAACAGCACGATGAAATCCCCCATGTTTATTCCTTACTACTATAGGAGCAAGGACGCTACGAACGGGGCTCCTAGCATCACTACTGGGAACAAGGTTCGCTACGAACGGGGTTCCTGGCCTTACTACCAGGAGCGTTCGGACGCTGCGAACGGAGCTTCCAGGGAACCTCTCGAAGCTTCCCTCGCCTCTTGCGCCGAACAGCACCAAGACTTCCCGAATCATAGCTTCCAGGTGCCACTGAATTCGTGCTCCACCAAGGATTGCGCTGGATCCGATTCGGCTCCATATCCAATGGTGCTGACCCTGCCAGAGGCCAAGAGGTAAAGCTTCCAGCTTCCAACCTTGAACAATTGCTTATGATTTGCTTATATACGTCACCAGAACAAAAAATCTTCAAAAACCAGAGGATTCACCCAGTGATTTCAAGTCACAAGGCCAAAAAAAAGACTAAACAAAAAAGCAGGCAGGCCAGGCAACGGAATAAGCTCTTTCACTGGGGAAACTCAAAAATCTTCGTTCCTCCGATGCATTCACTCGGTCTGACACCTCCATCTGCACACCGTCCGCTACTGCTTCAGCCAGAAACTCGTGCACTGCATCGCTAAAGGTCGCTGGACCGGTGAGCTCCACGGTCTCGCGAATTTTCCATAAGAATTTCTCCTTCAGGATCTCCAAGGAACCTGATTTGGTCGACCAACTCACTGGAAAAACAAGTCCCCAAGTGGATCTTCCCCCAAAATCATCTATAAAAGATCAACGACTGGCGAAAAAGAACACGGCCATGGCCACAAACTAGTCAGGGGTTGGAGAACTTAGCTCCTTGGCTCCATGTAGTAAATAATTAGAGAATCGATGGATACTTGATACCCTCCCCACATCCAGCTCGCCCTCTCCGTTTCAGCTCGCCCTCTCCAAGCCCGCTCGCCCAGCGACGCAAGAGCACGGGATTGCCGGGCGCCGAGGCCAAGAACCACTGCTCCAGTTGCTCCACGCGCGTGAAGCCCACGTCACCCCTTTCTGATTCGGTCAGCTGATGCCCTGCCTCGTAGCCAACCAGAAAGTTCACGTCCTTGGGGATGATGCTCTCCTTGGAGGAGGGAACTGGGAACGTGGACGGCCGCAAACGAAAAGGGAAATGTGAGAATTGATCCTGAGAAAAGGCCATGTTCTACTACAACTTAGTGGTTTGGGGGTGTCCATGCAGTCCTCTGCAGGAGGGTACCTACATAAACAAACCAAACAACTACAAAATGTATGAAAGCTTCCCTCCCCCAAGGGCACCCACATCCATACCAAAAAACAATGTCCAAACGATAAAAAGAACCAGGCATCATAGGTGCTGATGGGTTGTGAACATGTCACATCCAAATCGGCGTAGTAACCTCCCTGGTCCCATAGGACCAAATACCGAAAGACATCGGGTGTCAGAGCCTCCCAAATGGGCCACATCAAATCGGGCGATTTGCTCTTACAAAGCTCGGCGATCTCGGTATCCTCACGTGAAGCTCAAGTGAGTGAGGAGTCTGCTAGACAGTGTGAAGCTCGTTTGGAGAGGTTGCAATTGGTCGTTCGGGAGAGACCGTTTGCACAATAAACCAACATAACATCACATTTGAACCATGATTTCTCGATGAGAATAACATGGAACAAACAATGTGATCATAAATCAAGAGCTCAGCATCATTCCAGAGCTTGTGCTGACATTCTGGGTTCTTGGAAGTCCAAGACTTCACAAAGTCTTCCTGATTGGAATCCAGCGTGTGTGTCTTCCAGGTTTGATGAATGACACATGGGATCTGCTCAAGTCCCACATGGCGTCTCACTTCCAACTGCAAGAGAGACAGAAATTGGCACGCAGAAGGCTCACCAGCTGTAGCCAGAATGGGGAAGACGGCCACGCCAAAGACGCGGCAAAAGGCTAGTAAAGTCATGGGTCGCATGTGAAGGCTCCAAATGGGGGAGCCTAGTGCCTCCAAGTTACGCTATCAGAGCCACAAATGGCTGAGATACCGCAGAAACCGGCCAAAACTGATCTTTTCGCCGAATTGGAAGGTCTTTTGGGGGGTCGTTCGGGGTTGTCGACATAGTCACTATACCATGTTCACCGAAGTGTTTTAAAGTACTTGACTCCGCATCGGACGTGCGGCCGACTCGTCCGGTCGTACCGTCGCCGGGTCGTACTGACCCGAGCACGAAGTTCCTTGGTTGAAGAAGAAACAATCAAAGAACGTTTGAATCAATGGAGCAATGGTTGTTTTAATACCCTACTCCATTCAGAACCATTTGTTTTAATGGTCTGAATCCTAAAGAACCATTGTTTTACGAAGGATTTTTGCACTACGCCACCAGCTCAATTCTTTTAATGGTCGAACTGAAGGCACCACGGAGTTTGGGTGGTTTATAGACATCCCATGTATTTTTGTCCTTCCAATAACCACCCGTTCAGGCTCAGTGGCAAGTTTTTATCAGAGGAAGAATCAGGGACATCGGATCATTTGGATCTAATTTCTAAGCAGAACATCGTCAGGACTACCGGCCTCATCCGCAAAACGATGGGTTGACACTGTCGATCTTCCCACCGATTCTGAGACGAATCGGCAGAATACGGTGCCTCGAATTCCGCCACACCTTCGCGCCGGGCCCCGCCTCTAGGACCTTTGGGACAGTATTAAATTCCTGGGTTTCTTTTGTGATATTGTTGGAGGCCATCGCATGGAGGCCGTTTCTCGTTTGATACCACTCGGATTAGTTGGCATTTGGATGCCGTCGCCGGAACCTGTTCGCGAGTCCCATTCATTCGTAGCAGCGCGCCTGCTTCAAAACCAGGTCTGGCGTCAGCCTCAGGCGAAACGGGCAGCTGTGGCCCGTTGACCCCGAAGAGAATCAGACAGTGAAGCAACCTAATGGCAATGGCCTCCACCCTAGTAGCAATGGCCTCCAGCCTAAGAGCGATGGCCTCCAACCTACTAGCGTGAAGAACCCCATTGACATAGGGTTCAAGGATGTTGATTCATCCGGTCTCTTCAGGTGAGTGCAGTAGTTGCAGCTGTCGGCGTCCGTGCACACGAGAACAGCGAAAGCCCCATCGTTCGCTGGGCTGGGTTGATCAAATCCCAAACACTGGGCTGGGTTGCTGGCATCCTTGCCTGACACTAAAACCACTCCGCAATATGTGTCATATATTCATGGAGTGTCTTGGGACTTGTGCTGTTCTTCCTGCGGAATCTCGCGCACTCGCGCACTCAGAGGGCCTGGGTGTCCTATCCCGTGGCAGTGTTGGTCCCATCCCGTGGCCCGCCAAACCGGAAACATGCTGAACACTGGACCAGAAGGGCGTTTCACCAAGACCAACAAACCCAGCATGAGCCCTGAGCCCAGTACCGACCTGCATCGCCGACCTCTTCTCCGGCTCGGGGTCTTTTTCGGCTTGGGAAGTACCCCAAGTCACTTGGGATTTACCTGTGTGGAGTTGATCATCTCACCTAAAGGAGCCCATCCGATTTCACCCTCGGTCAGCCATGAACACCACAACATCCCACGTCTCACCGGATGTTGTACCCGCCTCAAACCGGCCAACGGCCACCGGACCGGACCTAAATCACTGCCCAAGTCCTCAAGATCAGAGACTCTCAAAGGTCCTTTAGAAATCATATATATATGTTGATTCGCATTCGGCATGAGCACCAGCCCACTTGCCGGCCGTCGAGGGAACACCTTTAGGCACGAGTTCCGCAGGATGGAAAATAGGTGCGCCCACATGTGGTGGTAGGATCCACTTCGAGGTTTTTGAGATTGGTAGCGGAGCCCTGAATAGCAGGGCTCCGGGTAGATAGGACTCTACTCCGGATCATTCGGCATGAGCGCGGCTGCTAGTACTTCAGATTCCACTGGTCTTCGATCGTTCAGTGGAGATTCAGAAGATGCAAAAGAATACAAGCGATGGAAGGTGTGGGTGAGCAACAAATTGCTCACCATTGCTGACAAGGTTCCTGAACATGCCCGTGGCGCCTACGTGTACACCCTTTTGTCTGGCAAAGCATTGGAGTGTGTAGAGCACCTTGACCCCAGCAGTTATCAGAAGAAGGATGGCGAGAAGATCATCTTCGAACGCCTGGACCAGCGTTTTCCTCAGAAAGACGCTTCCGACAAGATGTCGGAAGTTTTGACGGAAGTGTTTGCCGTCAAATCCCATGAGGGAGAATCGCTGAAGGCCTGGATTTCTCGAGCAACTGAACTGTTTGATCGATGTCAACGCAAGGTCAACGTCAACTTTCCTGAGGAAGCTCGCGGTTGGATGATCCTACATCGATCTGGCTTGAGCGATGAGCAAAAGGCAGTTGTCCTCGCTCGATCGTTGGGGGTGTTGAAGAGGGAAGAGATCGGTCGTGCCATGCGCTCTTGTTACCCCGACTTCGTTGTTGGTAAGAGACGCGCTGCAGGTATTTCTCTGGTCGAGGATTCCCTACCTCCTGAGGACGACATCGCTGCTGATGAAGAGTTCGACGAACTTGAACAGTTCTTAGCAGAGCATCAGGTCGCCTCCGAAGAGCCTGATGAGTTGTTCGATGAACCTGATGTCGCCGAGGCCCTAGCTGTGTCTTGGAAGGAGAGGAGAAAAGAGATGGGTCAACTCCAGCGTGCCCGCCGCTTCAAGCAAGCTCAAGATGTTCGTCGCTCCTTCAAAGTCGAGATTGAGGAGTTGAAGCGTCGCACTAAATGCAACAAGTGCGGTGCTGTCGGACATTGGGCTCGTGAGTGCAAGTCAGGCAAGGGCGCTTGGAACAAGTCAGCATCCTCAAAAGGGTCGTCCAAGGGCAAGGAATCAGCTGCAGCCATGGTAGTTGAAGAACACTTCATCGCCATGATCGACATCCTGCCATCCTCTTGGCGATCCTTGCAGTGGTTGAGAGAGAAGCAACAGAAATGTTCACCTACTGCTGAAGAGCAGCTGCTTGTGAGTTCACCTGGGTTCGGAGTATTGGACTCCGGATGTGGCCGCTCCATCATTGGTTGGGATACATTACAAGAGTTCAAAGACTTGTGGAAAGCCCGCCAGATGGAGATCCCCGAGCCTTTTTCTGAGGTGAACCACTTCAAGTATGGTAACGGCCACAAAGAGATGTCCAAACAGGCCATTCGTGTCCCCGTTCATCTCGGTGGCAGGGTAGGAACCATCAAGGCAGCCATCGTGCAGGGCCAAGCGCCCCTGTTGATCTCTCGCAGTGCACTCAAAACCCTGAAAGCCACCATCAACTTCGAGACGAATGAACTGACTGTTTTCGATGATCGTGTAGTCATTCCTTTGGCCACCAATCAAGCTGGCCAATACACTGTTGATTTGCTTGGCAATCCTGAAGGCCCCAACAGTGCCTTCGAAGAAATCATGATGACCACCGCCATTGATCAGGTCAGTGCACCAACCCTCGACGTGTCGGGTAGTGATCCGCCGGCCATGTCGTCCATCGAGACCAACAACGAGAAGCTGATGGCTCCAGATGCAGGTCCTCCGAATTCCGAAACAGCATCGTGGAGTAGGGTAGATATGTATGCCACTCATGTTCCTTCGCTAGGTAAGCAGGGTCCCAGGTGGACGACAGTCAAACATAGAATTGTGACCGACCTTGATTCTCATGAGGTGCTTTTCGACGAGCCAATTGATCCCAGTAAAGGTAAGGCCAAGTATCGTCATGCACTCCCTCCACATGTACTCCGATGTCAAACCGAATTTCTGTACACGCCACAGGAAGAGTGTCTGGTCTTGGAGAGCCTGCCCAAACATCATCTCCGGCAGTTGGAGGCCATTGTTCGGGAGACGCTTGCCGTACAGCCTCATGACAAGTCCCAGCAGTCTCATGATCATGGTAAGACACTTCTAGTTGCCGAAGTCTTTTCACCGCCTCGATTTAGCCCGGTGGTCGAACAAATGGGCTTCGCGAGTCGTTCATACGATTTGCTCAACGGGTATGATTTTCGACGCGCCGCCGACAGGTCAGCTGTGAAGCAAGAACTGAGTGAGAGACCCCCCAAATTGCTTGTTCTCTGTCCGCCTTGCACGGACGAAGGCGGTTGGTTCAACCTGAACAGCATGTACATGACACCAGCCGAACGTGCAAGACGCATAGCTCAGAGTCGCATGTACATCCGCTTTTGCTGCCAACTGTTTGAGCAACAGGTGAAGTTAGGTGGTAGAGTGCTTTTGGAACACCCTCAGGGTTCAAAACTGTGGACATACCCAGAAGTGCAGGCTTTGAGTCAAGAACACCACCTGATTCTTTGTCACATGTGTAGGTATGGTCTCAGATTACCTGGTTCTGACAAGCTTCTCAAAAAGGGTACCCACCTGTTGGTCAGTCACGAGGACATGAAGATTTTGGCCAAAGAATGTCCGGGTCAGCAACATCCTAAGCATGTATGTCATCAGCACATTGCCGGATCTGTTCCTGGTGTGGGTCAAGTAAGTACATTTGCTGGACAATACACTCATCAGTTTGTAGATGCTGTGTTGTCAACCATCCCAATGTTCAGGAAGCAGGAGGCAGCAAGCTGTGCAGCGTGTCCATCATGCCCAGAGCAGAAATGTCAAGAGGTCTTGATGGCCAAAGCCGATCTAGGTAGCGATGTTCCCGATGACCAAATCAAGAAGGTCCTCGATCGGTTGCACAGGAACCTTGGTCATCCACCCGTGCACGACTTGATTCGCCTGCTGAAACATGCTCAGGCCAGCCAGAAGGCAATTGACCTTGCTCGCAAATTCGACTGTGATCTGTGCAAGAGTCAGATCCGCCCACATGTGCCATTGCCAGCCAAGACCAATAGAGTGTCGGGTTTTAACCAGGTCGTCGGTCTCGATGTCAAGAATCTTCCAGGTTGGACCTCTAATCAGAAAATCAAGGCACTGAATATTGTTTGCCATGGTAGTTGCTATCAACTGATGATTCCATTCTTCCAAGCTGAGACCTCAGAACTTCTTCGAAGATTGTTCACCGATCATTGGATTCGCATTTTCGGTCCTCCGAAGGTAGTGGTTCTTGATCAGGCCAGAACTAACATGGGAGAGGCACTCCAAAACCATCTCGATTTGCAAGGCACCGAAGTGCGACAGATCGCAGGCGAAGCACACTGGCAACTAGGTAGAACAGAGGTTCATGGAGGTTGGTTCGCCCGCATTCTCACCAAGATCATTGCTGAACACACGCCTGAAACTCAAAAGGCTTGGGAAGAGTGTGTTACACATGCACATGTCAAGAACCAGATGATTCAGAACTATGGCTACACTCCACATCAACACGTGTTCGGTCAGAATCCCCGCATTCCTTCCGACTTGTTGGACGAACCACTTCATGTAGTGCCAGCCACTGCAAGCCTTGATGAAGCCAGTCTGGCACAATCACAGGCCATTCGACTGTCTGCCCGCAAAGCGGTCATCGAAATGCAGGATAGTATGTCGCTTCGTAGAGCCTTGGCGGCCCGGCCACGCCTGCACCAAGTCTTTGAGCCAGGATCCATGGTTGCGTACTGGAGACATCAGAAGTTCCAACAAGGTCAAGGGGTAGTTTTGGGAGGAAAGTGGTATGGTACCGCCATAGTTATCGGTCAAGTTGGTCGAAACTATGTGATTGCTCATCGCAAGCATATCTTTCGCTGTGCACCTGAACAACTGCGTCCAGCCACGTCAGAAGAGAGTATCTTGGTCAAGACGTCCCAATCTGAGCTGTTAGGAATCAAAGATCTCATCCAAGGGGGTACTTTCAGAAGTCAGAACTTTGTTGACTTGGTTCCTGGACATTATCCACCTGAAGTACAGACTGATCAAATAGGCGATGTTCCAATGGCCAGTAATTCGCCTGTAGCGCCTGAGTCCGTTGATCAGCCTGGTAAGGAGTCTGACCAATTGACTCCTCATCCCCCAAGTACTGACGAGAGAGCTCCAAGTCCTCCAGAAGACCCTCCTGAAAACCCTCTGATAGGTGAGAAGACCGATGAAGAAAAGCTCATTGAAGAGAACCCAACATCTGGATCCGACTTGAAGACTGCCTCGAGTTATGGCCCCGTTCGCTCTCGATCGCGAGTGGCCATGAAAAGTGGACCAGCGGCACTCTTTCGACCAAGACCTATGCTGCAAGATGACTTTGTGGATCTCATGACTGAAGTTGTCCCCAGACTCATCACTGAGCATATCGATAAATCATCAGCCGTGAATTGGGAACCAGATCCTGACAGCATGCAAGACGTGTCCAGTGGTCCCAGCAGCGGTAGTGGTCTTAAGAGGTCTGCCGATTCACAAGTGGCAACTGAAGAGCCACCAGCTGTGCGTCCCAAGACTGATGACACACAAGAGTCGCTAACCTCCCAGTGGTCACATGAAATCATGTCAGTGCAAGAATGTCAACAACTGATGCAAGTTTGGGATCAGACCCAAGACGTTGAAATCTTGATTGCAGCATATCTTCAGAAGAAGACATCTAAAGAAGTGCCTGCTGTGGGAAATGAACCTCTTGTGCAGCAAATGGTGGACGAATCCAAGCTGGTAGAATGGTCCACGTTGATAGAAAAAGGGGCTATTCGGGTTCATACAGGTAAGAAGGCAGCATATCTAAAAAGCAAATATCCAGAACGGTTCATGGGTAGCAGGTTTGTCATTGTGAGAAAACCATTAGAAGAAAACCTGCATCTCGACATTCAGGATCCCTCCACGTTTCGCATCAAAAGCAGGTGGTGCTTGCAAGGTCACTTAGACCCAGATCTCGACCAAAAATTGAATGAGGGACTCCTGCAGAGCCCCACACTCAGTCAAATTGGACGTATGATACTAATGCAAGTCATATGTTCACATGGTTGGGATTTGCAGTTAGGCGATATAAGAGGCGCCTTCCTAGAGGCCGGTCCACTCCCAGAGAGATTTCGGCCACTGTTTGCAAAGCAGCCTCAAGGGGGCATCCCTGGAGTCGAGGCAGACGCTGTCTTGGAGGTGGTTGGAAATGTCTACGGACAGAACGACGCTCCGTCCGCATGGCACAGGGCTTTCGATCAAGCCGCCACCAGCATTGGTTGGGAAAAGTCCACCTTCGACTCCTGTCTCTATTTTCTTCGTGACCACCATGGTTTAACCGGTATCATGGGTGTTCACGTTGACGATACAGCAATAGGTGGAACTGGACCCCTTTTCGAAAAGGCAGTGCATCAACTCAAGGAACGATTCCCATACCGGAAATGGCGGGTTCAGTCGGGAGAGTTTTGTGGAGCCTTTTACACACAAGACCCTAGAACCAAAAGCATATCAATGTCGCAACAGACTTTTGCTGAAGGGATTAGACCGGCCCACATTCCGAAGGGAGCAAACAATGACCAACCCTTGAACGAGCAACAGACCAGGGTTCTTCGGGCGATAAATGGAAGCCTCAACTGGATTTCTACTCAATCACGACCTGATGCTTCGGTTCAGACCAGTCTTAGCCAACAATGCTTCCCTAGGCCGACCATCAAGAATCTGAGAGAAGCAAATAATGCTGTTCGTAGAATCAAGCAACATAAAGATTTGAAGATCCACTTCCATCCGATTGACCCAGCACGACTCCGAATCTGTTGTCATTCTGATGCAGCGTTTGCGAATGTTGGAACTCACACTCAGGCGGGGTACATCCTGTCCTTTGTAGATAAAGATTTGAATGAAGGAAAGATTTCTCATTGGACTCCGATTGTTTGGCGCAGTTACAAGCTGCCAAGAGCCGTGAGCTCCACACTCGCTGGAGAGAGTCAAGCTCTGTCCACCGCGTCAGGCACGGTTGAATGGATGAATCTAATTTTGAGCGAAGCCCTGGATGGCAGTTTTGAGCCAAGGCAATTCCTGGAAAGACTTCAAGCTCGATCACCGATTCTCACAACAGATTGCAAATCGTTGTATGATCACTTGATCTCACCCTCATCACCCACTGCAGTAGAAGATCGAAGAACCAGCATCGACATTGTTATCATCAGAGAATCCATTCGTAGACTCAAAGCCTCCATGAGATGGCTTCCCACGAATCGCATGCTCGCCGACGCCCTCACTAAGGATAAACTAGATCCTGTAGATCTCCTAAGAGCTTGCATGAGAAGTGGAACATACCAAATCTCACCTGAGGAACATGTTTTGGCTCAACAAGCTGCTGAGAGGGAACTTCGGATGCAGAGACGTCAACTGACATCCAATCAGTCCCCTGGCAAAAATGCAGAGCCAGCGTGTGATCCCATAATTCACTCAGAACCATAAGATAGATCAGCTATGCTTGAGAGACTTTAACATCTTGAATAGTGAAAGATAAGATAGTCATATTCGGGAGAGTATCTTGTGGGAGCACTATATGGTGCGAGTCTTCAGTGCATATGTTGTTTTTGCAAAATGTTGGTCAAGCAGTGCCGTGCATGTTTTTCAATCGTTAATGCCTCCGCAGCCTTTTGAAGTGAGCACGAATCGTTGTCGAGTCAGCCGACCAAGTTCTAAAATGGCTTGGACCTCCGATGATGCCGCCAAGCTGCAAGAGCTGCTCCAGAAAGCAGCTGCCAACGGTGTGCATCCTCTTGCTGCTCTCGAGAAGACCGGCCGTCACTTTCAGGACGATGGTTTTGAATTGGTGACCACTGGTGGCATGTCAGACGCCACCAAGCGGCTGGGAGATGACTAATTGCCTGTGGCAAAGAAGCCAAACCAAAAGAGCTCGACCATGCCCAAACCAAAAGAGCTCGACCATGCCGCTGCAGACCGACGGCTCGATGGGATACTATGTTAAGGAAATGATGCCTGTGCCACTCCCCAGCTCATCGCTGGACCCGGCTCCGACCTACCTGCCAGCTGGAGTGAAGAGTCTGACACAGTGGAGCCAGTCGATCATTGGTTTTGGCAAGTTCAAAGGCAAAGGAATGAGCTATGCTGACTTGATCAATGCCGGCACGGAAGAGACCAAGGGATACATCAAATGGTGCAAGTCCCGGCAGTCCAGTGCTGGTGGTGAGTTGGCTGACTTGGCCAATTTTCTAGTTCAGCATGAAGCCGAGCAGTGCAAGTCGGGTATCTCACTCGGTGAGGTCATCGCTGGCACCAGCACGCGAAGGGTCTTCAAGTCGTGAATCACGATTGGATCCTCGATAGGCGGCCTAGAGTTGAGCACTGCATGAAAGATGCTTCGTCGATTTTCTAAAGAAGATTATAAGCAGTGTTGATTCGCATTCGGCATGAGCACCAGCCCACTTGCCGGCCGTCGAGGGAACACCTTTAGGCACGAGTTCCGCAGGATGGAAAATAGGTGCGCCCACATGTGGTGGTAGGATCCACTTCGAGGTTTTTGAGATATATATATATTCCATATTATTGCATTAAATATGGTCTACTAAAAAAAACACCGTGTCTGAGAACATATCGAAAATGATCGAAACATGTATCAACATATATAAAAATCCCTTCAAGTCACTCTCCACAAGTGACCCTTCCTTCAGATCCACAGCCCGCTCCCGCGGGCCCGAACCCGTGCGTTCCGTCCTCCGGTCGGTCGCCGTCGTCTGAGACCGGGACCAGGCGTGCGGAGCGGTCTCAAAGGGATCCAGCTCCACCAACCTGGGAGAAGAGAACACCGGGGACGGCTGGGGGTCGAAGCATCCGCTCAATGGAAACCAAACGCTACTGAAGATCGAAGCAAGATCCAATGAAAAGGGCCTCCTTGGAAGGAAATTCTGGCAAGTTTCTAGGACATTCTAGGACTGAAATTGCGTATAGTGTCGTTTTTTGGGGGGTGGGGGTGGGGCGTGGCCCAAAAAGATTGATCTATGGTTCGTCACCCAAAACATGGAGAACATGGGACAATCACATATCTCCGTGCCCACATGAAGCGCGGGTTCGTATCCATGGTGTTCCTAGCCTCTGCAATGAGCCCCTGCGAAAAAGAAAAGAGACTCAAACCCTGTGGTTGGGGGGTTTTTAATACACCACCTCCAAACACGTGCACAATAGGTTTTCTATGGTTTTCTTGATTGGATCTTTTGGTGCTCCGGGCTTTTGCCCTATCTTTCGGCACCACCGCATTCATCCGAACATCTCCACCTGAGCCGGTGCCCCCCTCCCCTAACCCGAGGACCTCCCCGAGCGCGTAAGCGCTCGGGGGTCTTTCACTGACTTTTCTGAATTCCCCAAGCAGTGTGGTCGCACTAGGGGTTCTTAGGGTAGGGGTTGAGGGGCAGTGTCTAATCGAGGTGTTGCGCGGTCGTGTGCTGCTAGTTCGCTGCTATTTACAGTGCACTCACGCATGCCTTTCGAAATCCTAGAAATGCATTTCGACGGGGCAGGCTCGCAAAATCTGCTGGGGCGCGGCGTGCTTTCTGAGGTGTGCTCTCAAATGCTCACTCTCCCTCTCTCTCTCTCTTTCTCTTTCTCTCTCTCTTTCTCTGTCTCTCACTGCCTCACTCTTACTCTCTCACTCTGACTCTAGCGCCTCGGAGCACAGATGATGAGCATAATGCCTCGAAATTCAGACACTGCGTTGGGCATGGGCAGCTTGGGGAGCACTTCAACAATACACCCCTTCCACGACACTGGCTGCAACAAGATGGCGTTGCTCACAGCAAACATGTAAAAGGTGCTGAACATGAGCAGGACCATCACTGCAATGATCCAAGCACCAGTCTGTTGCATGTAGGTGTTGCTTGAAGTCGTTTGTGTGTTTGCCACGCACACCGTCACACCGGCTGTGGATGGTGGACCTATTCCTGCTGGTGGCTGGAAACTCTTCTCCTGTGTGGCACGAACAGGGAACGCAGGAAAGAGTTCATCGGCATTCATGCGCTGGGCCAGGCTCATCACCACGGAAAGCGAAGACCCAGACTCATGTCCAAAGGTGATATGCAGAAACGGGCAGCGCAGCCAGCCTTTGGGCTGCCGGGGGGGGTTGCACGCCGCTGCCGCTGACAGGGGTGCTGGAGGTGCACAGGCCTACCCCACTGAGGCCAGGCCCACTTGGCGAGCAACCGTGAGAGCAGCCTCTCCCACTCACTCAGGAACTTCGGGTGATCTGTGTACCCACAGTGAGGCTAGCACAGAGCGTCCTAGGGAGAGAGGAGGGCAGGGTAAGTCCCCACCACGTTGCTCCATTGCTTCCACAATGTCTTGCAATGGTCGTGTGTAGAAGCTAACCAAATGCGTGTCCCTGTATGTGCAGTTCGTCCTTGTTCCTGTTGTGCTCACCCCGGGCTGGTCTCTTCAAGGAAAGAGCTGCGGGTCCAAACGGCGAGTGTGGGCGTATCATTGAGTAGGCCGCCGAACTTTGGGCCGACTAGCAGCATCCCCGCCCTGATGGGTAGTGGCAAGAGAAAAGACAACATTTTACAATGAATCATACCAAGAAACGTCCTTCTCGCTCGCCTATCTATAGTGTGCACTGATTCTTGTATCTTCAATGATCCTGCACAGCCTCCTTGCTTCTGCTCCTATGTCGACCACAAGGCACTGCACGTCTGCTGTCCCGTGCCACAGCTTGAGCGGCCCTGTTACAACGCAGGCACGAGACCAAACTCCAACTACGCTGAGCACCACGTCGTGGCTAGCATACCTGTCGTCCCTCGCTACTTAGCTGTATATCACAGGCGGCGGAGGAATTCGGTTGGAGGCCATTGCTAGTAGGTTGGAGGCCATCGCTATTAGGTTGGAGGCCATCGCTATTAGGT